ATATTTATCGAGATCCTTCACGAAGCTTTTGATTAGGATTTTAGTATCGGGAAGGAATGACGACGGCGTACTTAAATTGGTCATTTGATTGAAAAATCCAATGAATTCAATATATTTCTCTAGGCTCTTCAACGGGCCACTGGTTCCATTGATTTGAAGTGAAGGTAAATCACGAATCAAACCTTCTACAAGTGATCTATGACTTTCATATTGTATTTGAGATAATTTTTCACATGCAAAATAGGCGTTACTGTAGAGTTCAAATTTGTGTGTGTTATTTTTGGCTTGTTTTTCGAGCTTTTCATAAAATGACTTGATCCCATTTACAAGGGTGTTCACATCCTTTGTCAGACGCTTAGCGAAATCTTCAATAATTTTTTGAACTTTTTTTTGTGTATTATCAGAGAGTGTATAGCCAAAATCGTCATCATCCTTTTTGACGAATGAGAGGCTCTTTATCATTTTGGTTATAGACTGTTTATCGAGATGTGGAGTTTTCATATCTTCCAACATTCCCAATTGCTTTACTTTTCGATGGATTCTGATGTGACTATATCTGCCTTCTCTGTCTTGTTGCAACAATATACTGAAGAAATCTTTGAGTTTCTTGTCCTTTACTGCATTGTCAGATTTCAATTTGTTCATTAAACTTTTAATTTTATCGACATTGGATCGAATCAATTGTTCTTCACTACTAGATGTATTATCAGGTACTTGAGTAATCACTAGACCAATTCCATTTCGATACTTGCCAAAGTTCTCAATAATTTTAAGTGATTGCATTACGAACTCTCTGAAATCGTCGACAGCAGTCAATGAGGTAATCGTGTCCACATGCAGCGTAAATATAAGTTTCACGTGTCTGGCGTGCTGCCACAATTTTTGAATCAGATACGTATTAGAAATGTCATACTTGATGTCGGTGTTTTTGTCGTAGTATCCGGGCAAATCATAATACACAATCTTATTTTCTCTGTCGTACATCCTTTCGGGGATAATGGTTTTTGCTATCTTGGGGGACGTACCTATTTTGTCATCTTCATCAACAACTAGTAATTCACCGGTGGCTTCGTCTTTGACAGCCCGTAATTTATTGCCGGTGAGATGAAGAGTTATCGTACTTTTTCCGGGACCGGTGCTACCCAAAACCATTACAATATCTCGTTCTCGACTCAATGTAAAATTATCATAAATAATGTCTAGGTACTCCACAATTGCCGATGCTGAAATTTAAATAAATGTAATTGTTTAATAGAAGGTGAGAGTTTATAATTTATTGAAAAAAAAAATAGGCTTAGTATATTTAAATCAATATTAGAAAACGAACTTTATCCACTCGAAATTAACACGTTTTTACTTGTTGACACGAAAAAAATGTTATTTTATCTCCCATATTATCTTTAAAATAGAAACGGTATTTCACTTGTTTCTTGTTTGTACGATATTCTCAATATGTGTTTAGTAAACACTGTTTACATAGAGAAATTAGATCTCTAGTAATTATGACTGCTTTCGATTTAGTAATTTCATTATCAATGAAGCCACGTCAATCGATTGTCTTTAGATACTTTATTTGTGTTCTATTTTCTTCGTCAAAATGTTATTTATTTATAAAAGTCCAAATTATTTTGGAAATAAAAAAAATTAAATTAAAAAATTCAATTATATAGTTTTTTCTTTAACCCTCTAGTGCATAGCCCTGCCTTTAGGCATGGTGTATAAATTATTGTCTAAAATATATAATTTAAAAAAAAAGATGTTATTTATGAATTAAAATACATTCAGTAGGGTTCAGGCTTTCATTTTCCGGTCATTTGACAACTGGATGTAAATCGGTTGTTTAATTATAAACACGGTTGTACTCGAAAACAGAAATTTGACAAAAAAAATTATTATTTTCTTTGTTTATAGCAGTTTTACTGCAGTTTAAACAATGGTTTTGATTGTTCTCGAATTTTGTCAATAGCATTTTTTGAGAAAACCATGCGATTTTTTGAATTTCGATTATTTTTTTAAGGAATTATAAACCAAAACAATCATAGAAAAATAAGTCTCATGTCGAAAGAAAATTAATGCATTAGAGGGTTAAATTTAAAAAAAGATAAAAGAAATGGTCTGAATGAAACAGTTTTTTTCCAAACATAGCGATTTGTTTAATTATTTTTAGAAAATCGGTTAAAATAACAAAATAATTAGACATTGCGAATCAATATGGTTTACTTTTGGTTTTTTTTCTTGTTATGGATTAACTATAGATGTATATATGCATAATAAAAATATGTATCTTGTACTTACTTTCATCGACTTGAACCCTTTTTGCGCACTTGCAATTAATAATCTAAAATGGAATAATATTTAATCTATGTTACATTTACGATATATTGTTATTTTAATTTATTCGTCATGTATCTTCTCCATAGCACAGTGGCAGAAGAGATAAAAATTATGAAGAATAATAAAATCGAGATGATAAAAAACAGTTATACTTACAAAATATACATTTAGAAAAATACAGCCATATAAAATGTTAAGCAACTTCATTTTGAACAATTCACTTTTTCGTCCACTATGTTAAGAAACTATGACTTTACTCTGATCCGTTAGCTTCTTTTATACGATTTACGGAGTCAGAAATTGTTCTCAAAATTCAGTAAGGAATTTCAATAAAAAAGCGTTCTATTTCTTACTTGCATGGGAATTTGGCAAAACATCTTGCACGTGTCTCTTCTCCGGCGAAAACAAAAGCTATCTATTTATTTTTTTTAAAAACAACAACCCCATGACACACGTGTCATTTTTTTTGCGAAAATTAAATAAACAACTCTATCTAATTATGAAAACACACGCTGTCAATAGCTACAATGTTTTGAAGTCTAGATGATTTATCATTTAAGTCACTTTATTATTCTAGACTTTTCGAAACATTTTAAGAGAAACAAAGGCGAAAAAATATTTAATCGATTCCACTTTTCCATTTCAATAATTAAATGAAAATACATTGGCTGTTTGGCTTAATGAGATAAGGTTCTATATTCAGTGATTTTTTTTTGTCATTTATTGTGTCGATGACCTTTTTTTGATATATCCACATAGCAATGAAAGTGAATCAGCTGCCTGAAAATATTTCAATATAATGTCTGCTCTCAACATATGAAGCGAAATAAAAAATTTCTAGAAAGAAATTGATGTATGTCATGTTCTCGTTTTAATCAATCTTTGTAATATTCCGTTTCGCACATTATTTTCATCGTATTGTTTTATTGTCGACATGCATTTTTTGTAAAATATCATATAAATTTCATTAAATACTTTCGCTAAAAAAGAAGAAACAAGAAATATCGTTCAAATTTTAGACATTACCATGGTACTTCACTGATACATATTTTATTTAGACATCACTGATAACGTCATTAGTTCAGACTGTAGATTATACAGGATAAAACGAAGAATAATAAATTAGTGCCCAATTAATACTCACGATTGCTATCATTTTATAAACAGATTTTTTAAAAAAAACTAGCAACTACTCGCGCTCTTCGCTCGTTAATGTGGTTTATCCCCATTCCGCACATAATTCTGTCTTAACAGGCGGGCTGAAAAGTTCGTATCGTTTCTAAGAAAGGGCGCTACCATAACGAAATCCATTATGTTTCTGGAAAGTACCATCCTTTCAAGGCATACATACGAAATTTGAGCCATATCCGTCCACTGAGTCAGAAATTATAGCACTTGAAATGAACCAATCTCCAGCATTTCTCTTTATGTGCGAAAAATCAATTTCAACCATGCTAATTAGGTCAATTTTTGTTTGATAAATCCATCAGCGAATCCAAAACTGAACACTTGAAGGTATTCTTTGGTCCCTCCACTACCATCTGAGGCTATATAGAGAGTCACTATTGACATGTATGTGGTCACAAACGCCAGAGGTGACGAACGCCTCAATTTGCCTTAAAAATACGGGTCTTCGAAGAGATGCTTGAAAAAATCTAAGAAATTGCCCCGAAGGATGGCTATTTTTTTGTGAATACTGAAGAATGGATCTCAAACATCTTGTAGAATACTTATTTCAATACATTACTCCAAAATTTGTGTAAAAAAAATTCATTCAAACAAAGAGTGCCGCATTTTCTCAAAATGACAACAAATGGAATCGAGTGGCAACTTTGAAGTGATCTAAAGTGGGTTTTAAGCATTATTCAAGTAAATATTTTTACTGAATGGTAACTATTAATGTCTTACAAAACCCATGGAATACATTTTGAGGAAATTTAAATTCCAACTGGTCACCAAAAATCAACGTAACGACGATAAGTCACAAAATCTGAGTTTTTGACATTATCTCGTATTCCTTGCCACTATTTAGTACTGCGTTGTTCAAAATAGCGTTTTATCATCTTGGATGAGATGCGACAATGCCAAAAGAATAATACATGTCAATTTTGACATTTTTGGACAAAGATAATCCGGTGTTTTTTGTGAAAATGTAAGCTTTCAGAATTTCAGTGAAAAGCCATCTCGGGAAGTCATGCAGATGATGTCAGCATTTGATGAGTTTTGATACGAATCGATTCGTTATTTCGAATTTAGCTTGGGGGGACTTATATCTGCGTCCTGGGTTGAAAAATAGTTTAAAAATAATGACTCCTCTTTCGAATAAAGCCATAAAATTGAGAATTTAGGTGTATTTTGAGGTTATGTTCTTTCAAGTGCTATAATTTCTGACTCAGTGGACGGATATGGCTCAAATTTCGTATGTATGCCTTGAAAGGATGGTACTTTCCAGAAACATAATGGATTTTGTTATGGTAGCGCCCTTTCTTAGAAACGATACGAACTTTTCATTCCTCTTTTCATCATGTTTTTATAGAAGGCATTTTTGGGTGTTTTTTTTTTATTTGAGCAATTGTTCAGGGAAAAACTAAAGGAGTAAACAAAACAAACCGATAAATTTTGACGATGTCACACATTCAGCTTATGGAGAATAAAACAAAAATGAATTAATTCGAAATGTTTTTATTCCATTTGTTTGTCTAGTAATTTTTTGTTTGTTTTTATTATTTGGTCGAACGATAAATTGTACGTAATTGTCCAAAAAACCAGATTTATAACCAAAATTAGTGGTTTAGATACAAAAAAGAAATCCATTGCATTGCCTTGTAATTATTATTTATGAAATAAGATATAAGTCTTGGGCAATATCTTTCAAATTCATTCAATAAATTGTATATCTTAAGCTAAAACTATTATTATAATTTTCATTTTATTTGTTTAATTTTTCAACAGAGCAGAAATGAAATAAAGGAAGCAAAACGGCGATGAGTGTTTTTGTGTTGCCTTTTTAAAAGAAACTGAACGGATTATTATAATCACTAGAAAAATGGAAAAATTGACGATACATCTGTGATGGATCAAATTCAACGTCGTCCAAATCTTGACCATTATCAAAGCGATCTTTCTTCTGTGGATCTGATAGAACCGCATATGCTTCGCCAATCTCTTTAAATTTCTTTTCTTGTTCACGTTTCTCGTCTTCTGATGCGCTTGCATGACGATCGGGATGGTGAACTAACGCTCGTTTTCTGTATGCTTTTTTGATTTCGTCCTCTGATGCCCGCTTATCAATTCCTAAGATTTTGTAATAGTCTTTTCGTTTTGATCGTTTCAATGCAATTTTCGCTTCTTTCAATGCATTTTTAATTTCAATTGTTCGTTCAATTTTCAATGCAGCTTCATAGTCTTTAACAGACTCTTCATAATTTTCCGTTTCATTGTGACATTTTGCACGCAACAAGATCACTTTGAGGTAGGCAGGATTGGTTTTCAATGCATCTGTGCAATCGGTAATCGCATCACGTGCATTTCCAATTTTTGAATTCATCAATGCCCGATTGTACAATAATTTCGAATTTATGTCTGCATTCAGTGGATCAATTGCAAGCGCCTCTGTATACAATTTGTGTGCCTCACGAAATTTGCCCACTTTGAATAATTTGTTGCCTTAAATTGATAACGGTATTGAAGAAAATTTTGATTTTAAATTTTATGAAGAAATACTGTACCATTTTCTTTTTTTTCCTTTAAGCTCTTTGCCTTTAGTCGCATCACCTTGGCTTTACTGTGGTCGGGATCCAGTGTGAGTACTTGTTGGAAATGCGTCAATCCTTTGTCCAAATTGTCTTTGTAATACAAACACAGGCCTCGAACGTAAACGGCATCAGCGCTTGACGAATCTGATTTCATACACGATACGGCTATGTCATTTGCTTCCTGTGTCAATAAAAATATCAATCAATAAAAAATGACTTTTTATGGAAAGCACAAATGACTTTTTTTCATTCTATTCAAATACAATGTGGTTTACAGTCACATTCAATCGTGAATGTTTTGTGATTTTTATTTCTTATTTGGATATTGGCATTGAATTGGAATGATTTTAAAACATGGTTAGAAAATAGGATAAAAAACAAACGGAAACTACCTCAACACGACCAAGAAGAGCCAGACATTCAGCTTTTAGCAATTTAATTTTCTGACAGGCAATTGCGAGTTTTAGAGCACCATCAGCGTGGAAAACTGAAACAAGTAAAAAAAATTCATAAGAATCGATTTTATATTAAACATGCGGCCATCAGAAATGTACATTATGTATGAATACGTCCATTTACACAACAAAAAATGCTCTTCATTAACCCAAAAACTAGTTCGAATCATAAATGGTGAATTCTACACAAACATTGTAAATGACAAATTTTGTTTTTTTTTTCTTCTGTGTTGTTGGCACCGCCCGTTTCACTGAGTTTTTACAAAGAAATCGCCGTTCACTTACCGGCTGTACGGAAATCCTTTTTCTCATAGCATTGGGTGATTTTATCTTCGTAGGAGCGTAGCTGTTTGCATTGTTCTTCGTATTTATTACAGATGTCATTGTTTGAACCAAGTTCAGCAAGTTTTTTGATCATTTGCTCAGCACCGACAATATCACCTAATGTGATACAGCATTTGATAGTGCGATCGTAGCCTTTAGCAAATTTGTCATCCATCAAAACAGCTTCGCGACTATCTTTGAGCGCACCTTTATAGTCGCCCATCATCATTAAGCATGCCGAACGATTTCCATAATATGCAGCATTATCGGGACACAATGTAATCGCCTCCGTATACAAATGTAATGCCGATTGATAGTTTTGTGCTTTGTACTGATCGTTTCCAGCATTTTTCTTATTCTCGGCCAGTCTATAAAATAAAATAAAATACATGAAATCAATTGATCGGATAAACGGTATTAATGTAAATTTGTTGTATTTTAATTGAAGTGTAGGTTTCCTTTTATGAGAATATCAAATCAATAGAATTTAAATAAAATCCACCTTGATTTGTGACCAAGCGAAATAAATAGTAAAGTGAATGTACGTAAATCATCACATTGCTGTACATACGTCTGCTTTTTATTGTGTTTGCGGAACAAGCATTCAATGCAAAATGAGTCAGTCAGTCAGAAAATGACGAAAACAAAAAATTATCCGAATTTAATTTGTCGGATTATGGGGGGTCATAATACCAAAGACGAAATGTCGCACAAAACAAAGGTGCAAAATATCATTCGATGAATAAAGAAATGGAAAAAACCCGTTGAATAAAAAAAAGATTGCGAATACACCGCCAACGCGTAGCCATCAAATGGTTTGCACTGGAACACAAATGTTCGCTCAAGCAGAAACACAATGACAGCGAACAAACTCTAGCAAACGTCCAATGACTTTTAGCTCTTAATTGCGTTTTATACAGTGCTATGGCTCTGTACGTGTACATACACTGGTGTAACGGTAAAATCGATATGCAAACCAAATAAATTGTGGGCCAAAAAGATGTATATATTTGTTTTTAATGTGAGTGGCCTGACAAAGGATCAATGGCACCTAACTAGTATAATGCGCGCTCTTGATTACTCATATAATAGCATTTTGTAGCATAAACATTGTATATTAGGACTCTATTATTTTCTCTATCCAAATTGGTGAGATGTTGACACACTTTGGTGAGCAAAGACGCGCACGCACAATATATTTATCGAAACAACATCATTCACTACACGAGAAAAGTATACATATTATATGAATCACATAAAACCGAGCTCTTTGTCCATGCTTCCCGTTGCATTAAATCAAATTTTACGCGCTTAAATTTTAATCATAACAGTAATTTGATTGCCGCCCATATAAAATTCAATTTAAACATTTATTACCACTCTATGTCACACAAACTATTTTTACCAGCGTACAATTTTCATTTTAGAATTTTATTAGCTCATGCTGTCAATTCAAATATGATTCCATGTTTTGTGCATTTTCACAGGTGCAAACCATTAAGAATTGATTTACGATTGAAACGTTAACCGATTGTTCTAGATTTTATCATTTCGTTTGCTGTCAATTTCATAACAACATTTAGCGTTTACTTTGTTTCTTGTTTCCAAGGGACAGACGAGAAAACCACAACCTCAAAATACTGGTGAGATATTTTTTTTTTTCGTCGGTCGCTTTCGTATGACGAAATATACTTACGTTTGATTACTTTCTGTGGGAATAAATTGCATTTCCATTTCTTCGTCTGATTCTTCTTCTTCTGTCTCTGTATCGCTATCAATCACAATTATATCTTTATCCTGATCCACATCCATATATCACTAACCAAATGTTTTATGGTTTCAACACGAAACGAAAATTAAATAAAACCAAAAATGGAATAAAATAACAAAAGAACTCTTGGCGTATGTGTGGAAATTTACAACAATTTCACTTTCTCTTGAATTTTTAGAATGGAAATTCTCCGTCGCGTTTTTAACAGACCACGTATATTGAAAATTGAGTTTGATGATTTTTTATTTAATTCAATTTATTTGCACATTGATTCGGAAAAAAATTAAAACACATAAAAAATCCACTCTTTCTCACAAATGCAGTCTGTCTGAAGTATCGCATGGGATGAGAATTACAATTGAACAGAAAAAGTTACACTTCGATGAGTATTGCCAACTTGAGCAACACAAATACAATGCACATGTCTTCCGTGTTTGTCAGGGTTGGAAAAACATACACGAAACTGAACGAAATTTAAAAACGATCGGTAAAATTAATCGGCGATTTTTTGCGAGAGTTTTTTGTTTCAAAATGTCTAGGTTTGCTGTGGTTTTGCAAATTTTATCAGGAATTCGATATTTAATTTAACTAAACCGGTTACACAATTTAAAAATAACATTTTCATACATACATAAACAGTTGATTTTCAGTCATTAATTTGAAACCTGTTGAAAACCTCTAAATGTCAAGACGACGCACGAATACGAACCACAAACATGTATTAAAAAGAACATTGTACTGACGACTGAAACAAGTGTTTTTCAAAAAAACATGTCGAAATATTTCATAGAATATTGGCTCACCGATTATGATTGGATAATCATGTCTTTAAATGAATTTTATTTTGATGAAAACGATTGAAAATGTTTTGTTCGACTTTAAGTTGAAAAAAAAAAAAGAGTTTTGCGCAATATTTTCCAAAGCGTATATATTCTATTGTCAAGCCTTTCAGTTTTTTTTATTCATTCACAGCAAGTAAATAAAACACCATTGTATTTTTTGTTCAAAAGATTAAAATGAATATAATATTTTTTTATTGAAGAATATAATCCAAAGCTTACATTTTTCCAGACTTATAAATTTCATTCCGACTTTGGTTATAATCTCAAGCATTATATAGTTTCGTGTCTACAATTGAATTGTAACAATTCAATATCATCTCAGTATCTGTGCAAATTAATCAACGTAATGTGGATCAACAATGGTATCTTGACGGAAGCTCACAACTTCAGCTTGGCTATCGGCATGAATGATCTTTGGTTTGGTACCAGGCTAAAAAAATCCAATTCAATTAAAAAAACTTATTAATTGCATTTCGTCATACAAAAATATCAAAATAATATTACCTTTGGATGCATCAAGACAAACGGCAACTCAGCTGAAACTTCGCCTCCAAGTGCGCCCAAGAATAACTTTACTTTGACAGCATAAGAGACAATAATTCCGAATGCATCACGGTTTTCAGGATTAGCGAGCCTGCATTGAATAAAGTAGAAATTTTACAATAAAAAAAATGAAAATGGCAGAATGTCAAAACCATATGAAAATACTCACAAAGTAGTCGAAGCCAAGTTGCTGTCTTCACGTTTCAATTGGCCGTCCAAAGCAATACCTTGACGATTGACATTGTTGCTCAACAATGGTACAAGGTACATGGTTTTTTGAAGGGTCGAACCAGGGTTAATCGGGCAACCTTCTCCGGTTTCCATCGAAGCGACCGTGTTACGATATTGACCATTTTGGAATAACACCACATCAACGCCTTGTTGAACCATTGACTTGATTTTTTTCACCACTTTATTCGAATTGTTTCGAATAACGATATTAATTCCGATACGTTCGCCATGGAAATAGAGTTGCTTGTCCAGTGTCACCTCTAATTCCAATTCACCTGGACTGAGTAAAAAGTCTTTTCGAACAACGGTGCATGGCTGACTGCCTGTCTTGGCAGGTGCGTATTGTACCTTACGAATACCCAAAGTCAATGTACTACGACGATGAGTACGATCGGTATCGTTCTCTCCAGTGAAAATCTTGTTTGAAAAATATTCGAAAAAACAATTTATAAATTCGTGTATTAAAAAAACAAAATCTAATGAAGACTCACTTTCACAAAGTAAGAAACACCGCATGGTTCGCCGGACTCATCGTTAGGTTGTTGTAAAATCACACTGGCTGGACAGCTTGGTTGAATGTTAAAATTGAATGGGAATGCATTCGGTCCGAGTTTTTTCAACAAACGTTCTTGTAATTTCGATGGCTCATTGACCTTGGAAGTTTGAGGATAGATTTGCTCCGATACCAAGAACAGCTCCTTTTGGAAATTCAAACCCATCACTTCATCCTCTTCACGGCCATATCGGAAACTGCATACAACTTGGCCAAAAATCTTTCTCTTCTCTCGAACGTATTCATCGTCCAACACAATAATTCCTTCGATTGGTTCAACAGATGCAATATTATCAACGTAATCACGTTTTCCTAAGTAAAGAGTAACTTTTCCATTTGGTGAACACTTCTTGAATACTTTGAAGTTAACAACCATTTTGAATAATTTTTTGGATTTTTTTTTGACACTGAAGAATCACTTAAGTATGAATCCACTTGAACAGCGAGTACTGATTTGATTACAACTTTCACAAAGAAACCGGCTTTTATAGGCCACCAAGAACCATATCTAATTTAATTATGCACAATTTTCCGTCAAATCGATTATCTATTAAACATAATAAACACCTCATAGACTAAAAATGTGACCATTTGTATGGCTTCTTTGTTTTTGTAATTCACCTTCAATATTTGTTATTTGTTGAGCTGTTATTCACAATTTTTAACGCTAACAAAGTTATGATTTTCATTTTGACGAGTCATCGTTTAAAGTTATTCAAAATTAGCGACCAATTTCCACTCAGATTTGGTGCAACAACGTGATAATAAATGCATAATTTGTCTGAGGTAATGCGGTGGAATGTCGTGTAAGATATGACTTAATCTTTTTGTTCATTTTTTTAATTCAATAAAATCAGCTATAAATAAATTCATGAATAAACATAAAACAAATGGGCAACTATGTCCAATCTAAATCTTCAGCTCAAAATAATGTCTAAAATTATGAGATTGATGATAAAATTCAATCTACGTTTGATAATGAATAAACTTCGTCATAATTAATAGTTGTTACTGAACAGATTTTCACTCATTCATCAATTTAGGGAAAAATAGGCTAGAATTAAAAGAGCGCAAACAAGGCGCACCATTTCGATGGTTTATATTTCATTAAAAATAAATAAATCAGCAAACATCCTCGCTTGACTCATCGAACAATTTTTAAAGCATGAAGCGGACCTGGAAGCAAGCACAAAAACGAATGCTTGCTCGAGTATGTCTGTATTTAGTTTGCTGCTGCTGCTCGCATTGCTCCAAAAAAAGCAGCAATTATGATAAAACTAATAAAATATAAAGCGATTTTATGAGAAGATGAAAGTAGCAAAAAAAAAATATGGATGGTGTATTCTATTTTCGAAGTATACAAATTATCGTGTTCATCCTTTGGGCTACAAGCGACTCGTTTGACAATGTCATTTAGAGTGCAATCAAGTTGAAAAAATAATAAACAATGAATAAAGACGCTGCGCTAAAATGATTGAGTCACGATTGTTACGGTTTTAAACTTGGTTTTAAACCGCAGATCACATTGATGAATTATTATTTTATCATATCGTTTATGTTTCATTTATAGCATCATCAATTCATTACATGTATTTAAAATTACGGCGCTGCAATAAAAACTGAAGTCCCCAGAAAACATATTCCATGTTGTATTCTTTATTAAAATAATAAAAAAGCATCTAAATACTATGCATACATTGTCTATTCAGCAAAAACCAGTAAGCTAAACAAATGTTAGGTAACATTGGTTTGTCTGTTTCTTTTTTTTTTTTCGCTAAGCATAATTCCTGTAAAAACAAAATCATTCGAAGAAAGAAAACGAAATAAAAAAAAACGTATATGTTTCGGTTGTCTGCAACGTAAACGTCATGCATTCAAGACAATATCGCGAGAGCCAACATATATTCAAAAAAAAACCAATACCAATACATATGCGCCTATTGACATTGAATGGAACCACGTGAGTTGAGTGTGTGTATAGTTTCGTATTTGGCAGCTGTATATGTAATTGAGAACATATGTAATGAGCGATATTTTTTTTTACATACGGCAATACCAAAAAAACAGCATAGGAACGATCCAATGCCTATTTATTCGCCAAATCGGTTGTTTTTTTTAAGGTTTAAATAGAAACCGTATGAAATTCCGAGCGACCAAGAAAATGCCATGGATTTGAAAGGTTGTTTTGAGATTTGGCAACATAACGAAGGTTTTAATATGCGTTGGCGTTGTATTCATCCAAATATTTGACAAATGAGCTACCGCGGCAATAAACTGGTTTATGAAGCACAGCACAAATGACGTTTTGAATGAAAGATAGCAGAAGTATCGTTGAATTCATGAAAAATCAAGGATTTACCAATATACTATTGTTATCGATCAAATGAAACAATGACTCATTTTATGATTGAATATTATTGAATATGATTAAATTTTTATTGTTTTCCATTGTTTTTGAATGAGACTCAAATTGATTCATTCCATTCAAATTGAATGATTCAATACATATGTATATACAAAACTTAAGCAAGCAAAATTCATCCTTATAACTGCTTTGATTCCATAAAACTAGATAGAATATACTTAGTGCTGAAGATCCGGCAAATAATTCATTAACCATTTGCTTTTATTTATTTTTATCGATCGTTCTCTCTGACTTTTATGACTATTTGAAGGCATTTCCGACAAGGATTTAATGTAAATTGTCCAGAGCCACAAAAGATGGCCATTTGAAGGGAATAACAAGTGTTTGTTCTTTAATTTGCATGTCAATAGAAAATAAAGTGTAAATAAGCGTGTAAATGTAAGTAGATGTCCATTAAAAGTTTTTGTGACGTCCTTTCTGTCGTACACAAAACGGGCAAAATGTGCGACGTATTACAATTTCTGTGTTCATATTATGGCAGGCTGCATGATACTGGCCGCAACATTTTTGGCATTGAAGGAGATTATCTGCAAATGAAATGTTCATTGAAATTAATACACATGAAAAATGCGCATCGAAAATATCAAAATCTACTCACTTCGCTTGTAACAAGTCAAGCAAACTTTCTCCGAACTGTTGTTGGATCCATTCGATGAAATCGATGAACTCGACGATGCATTCGATTTGATGCCTCTGTTCCGTTTTGGTATGCAGCACGGTTCTTTTGCTGTATTTTTCGTTGTTCCATTGCTGCCAACACGGCGTTTGGCTCTTGTTGCGGGCGGTGAATATAAAAATTGCCTCTGCCGTTTGTTGGCAAACTGTTTTTCAAATAGTTCGTATTTGCCGTATAAATAATCACCACGTTCGGTGCTTTTACACTGTCGTGTTTTTCGCGATGGTCTACGATTCATCAAATATTGTGTATAGGCGGGTGTATACAAACCAAATAGTCGTAAAAATCCCTCTTGGCTAAGTTCCTGTGCATCTTCTTCGTCTTTCATCGGTTCTATTTCGACTGAAGATCCATTTGATGAACGTGACGATGACAACGATGACAATCGTGTATTACAGTTTTCTTTCGGTGTTGTCTGTGGTGAAACCGTTTTGGGTGATTCAATTTTTTGTGCTGGTTGTGCTGTGTTCAATTGTGCGGACAGTGCTTGTGCCAATCGGAGGCGGCCAAGACTTATGCTAAGCGGTTGGTCTTGTGGTGGCACTGTTTTTTTTAATCCAACTTCAGGTCTCACCACACAAATTGGATTCTCTGCATCAGCCTCCGCAATCAGACGCTGATGTATTGGTTTGAGTAAAGTTTGACCTGCCGCTGGTGCTTTGGTTGCCTTTTGCTTTGGGCCCGAATAAACTTTTTGATCAACGCGAACATCGTTGGATAACGCAAGGATTTCAATTTTCTCGTCATCTGAACTACTGGAAATCGGTTCGATTTTAACATCATTTGATGCCGAATTTCCACTTGAATAGCCATCCTCCGGAGATGTTGTCGATTGAAAGTATTTGCCATAGAGAGCATCTTCGTTTGGTCGAATTTGTACATTCATCGGCCGTATGTCACCCGGATTCGCACGGCTATGATTTGCCAAATCTTCACGTACTTGATTTGTCAATTTTTCACGTTCAGCTATGCTGGCACCTTTCGTGATTTGATGATAGTCGATAAAAAATCGCAAACGATTAAATAACAGTCTCTGTGTAAGGAAAATGGCAAAAATAGATATTCTTTTAGTATGATGCCTGTATTAAGATCATAAATTGTTTTTACCTGTTCATCTCCAATGTCCAAAATATCTTTTTGTAATGATTTTAACGATGCTCCCAATCGAACATCCGCCTGAAATACACAACAAATGCAAAAAAATATTAAAATGATGAAATTCTCACACAATTAGTGTTGTGTCAAAACTTACAGTTTTCATCATTGATACCAGTTTCTATTGGAAAAATAAAAAAAAACGATACAAAGAGAAAAAAATCAATTAGTACGGAAGCATCTATGAGATAAGCGAATTCAAGTTTATCGCTATTCAAATAAAAATGTCAAATTTCTTTAAAATTTTCATCATCGAATGAAAATTCATGTCAGTACGTTGGCTGAAATAATTGTAATAATATTCTGCAAAGTATTGACTTGAATTCGATTACTAAAAGAACTGTTGAATCGAAATATTTGACATTGAAGTTATCATTCGACATTCTAAATATAAATTTTATGTGCGTCTCATGTAAATAATTATTCAAATAAATATATATATATATTCGCACAAGGAAATAAAAACCGATGTGATCTTTGTGAAAAATTAAAAAAGAAAATAATTACCTGATGAATTAGAATATGGTTGGCCAAAGCTCGTTGACAATAGATCAAATCATTTTTAATGTCAATAGGAATTTCAAAGTCAATTTTCATTTTATTCATTTATATGCTGTACAATTTATCAAAAATAAAAAAATAAAAAACAAGTCGAAGTCTAAATCACCAAAAAACCAACTGCTCTTTGGTTAAACGAACAACAAAAGTTCAATGGAATTCCGTATACAACCGATGCGTGCGCGAAGTATCCTACTGCCAATTGTTAATTTTCAAATTCCGACCAATCTTTGACAAATTAAATACAACAATAAATTCTCTTCAATACGTTTGATTGATTTTATCAAGGTTCTACATACAATAATATTATTTATTTTGAAAACAAATATAAAAACTACGAGCTGATTACAAAATACTAGTTTCCGTGCACTCTACTGTACTGTTTTAGTCAATGTGAATTTACTATATATTTTCAGTTCGACACACAGCCCAATGTGTCTCTTCTTAAGCTATTTAGTGTTGCCCGAAACGAAGCGGACGGAATTGAAACGGTATGCGATGTTGACAGGCATTTATAATATTCACCAGATAAATTCATTTTGCTTTTTCTGCTTACAAAAAAATAATCGGCAAATATTTCAGTTTGTTTACATACAATTGTTTATTCGAAATTCAAATTGGTCACATTGCACGGGAGAGAGAACAACAACAAAAAAACTTTTTTTGCTGACAGTGGCAATTTTCCGTTCGGTTCGTGAGTTGGTTCTTTATTCAATATTGGTTTTAAAATCTTTTTTAACTGAACTGTTGTGCCAACTTATTCAAAGGGAACATATTTTGCATAAGGTTCAACGTGTTCCTTATAAATTCATTTAAATTGGACCATTTTTATCATTCATTGTTAATTCTGTTGATTTTTTTTATTGTCTGCGTTTAAACTTCGGTCAAAACTGAAAGCAAGATACGCCGTTAGTATACATTGAAAAGCCGTGACTGAAAATGAGCATTATTTATGATGATTTTTTTTCTTCATATGATCAATGAATAAAGAAAATGCATGGCGAAATAATCGTGATGAACTAGAGCAGATATGTGCGGATATGTGTCTCAATGTACTTCTGTATGCGGTACGTGATGCACGGCACACATATACACGTATAAACAGCAACTGCTTTGACAGCATCAACACAATATATATGTTGGAATCGGAGGGAAAGTAAATTTAAAGCCTTCATCGTTGCTGAGATATTAAATGCTTACGCAGAAAACGTAGTAAACGTCGAATCAAGAAAATATTACATCAGTTTTTGTCCAATTTAGGCTAAAAAATTTAATGCAAGAAAAACGGCAAAATGGTCCAAAAAATTAGTTATATTACAAACCTCATGAGACTCATTTTCAAATCCTACCTGTTGTTAATTTTAACGTGCAAAATTGACCATAATTATACTCTTCTCTTATTTACATTGTTTATTCTCTTTTTTTTGATATTATACTAAATTTTTATGAATTTTGATCGTTTTTGTGTTGCAGGCTATTTTTCAAACAACAGAGGATCAAAATATCATAAAAAATAAATGTTATACATGTGTATATATGTATTTTATTAAATAGGAGTTGATTGGAAATGTTCAAAGCGGAAATACAGTAACATTTTTTAGTCATACAGAATATAATTATTAGCCTCTAGGTGATGACAAACACCACATTTATTTGAAAAAAAAAAATAAAACAATTGAATATGGCAAAACGGCATTGTTCAACGAAATTGCAAGGACCGTTGGTGCCCCTGTTTTATTATCTCAATCTATTTTAGTAATCACAATAAAATTATCCGATTTAAGAATAATAAAAATTAAAGCAAATTTTGAACAATATCATACAGAAATCAAAGAATAGTGAAATATATATTTTTTTAATAAAATTTACACCATATAAAAGAGAAGAACTGATTATTTTTATTCTTTCAGAGAAAGACATATATCTATATATATAAAGTGTGAACAGCGAAAAAAGAATTTATCTTATAACTGTGTATGAACAAACAGGCGAATATTTTTTCGTCTTATCATCATGATGATTCGTTTTTTTGTGTATTCTTTTTAAATGCATCAGATGAGCGACATAACCAAAACATGTTTTATGAATGTCAAATAATTCGAATTTATACTAACGCGTTCATTTTTTCTCAGTCGTAGGTGAGCCTGTATTTGGTATTGCATAAAAAGATAACGAAACGAAGTGCAAGTTGACAGTACCGCTGATTTTCAAAGCATTTGAAAGTTAACGAAATATTTTCTTCCACCAAAATACATCTTTACGAAAATATTGACTTGAATAATAGAGTTCGTATCTCTGATAACTAAGTTCTATAAAAAAACCAAAACTTGAGTGTTGCCAATTTAAAAGCAAAATCCAAAGGTATATGAAAATGAGTAAAATTAAGCCGAAAATTGAACGAGATCTGCTGAAACCGTATGAAAGAGTTTTTACTGCAAACCAAAATCCGCTCAATGCAAAAATGATTGAGTCGCCAATCGGAACATTGGTTGCTGTGACGAATGAAAAAAATCTACTAATGCTCACCTCAGTCGATGGTAAGCATTTGGATGCTGAACTGAAACACTTGACAAAGGTCTATTCAAAGTCAATTGTTGAAAATGATGAAGCCGAACCGTTAAAACTCCTTGAAACAGAATTAAATGCATATTTCAAAGGCAATTTGATGGCATTTAAAACAACATTTGAAATTGATAAATTGGGAACGGAATTTCAACGATTAGTTTGGAATGAAATCTATAGAATTGTATATGGCACAAGTAGTACCTATTCCGAACTTGCTCAACGCATTGGAAAACCGAAAAGCTATCGTGCTGTGGCCAATGCATGCGGACGAAATCCAATTTCAATTGTAATCCCATGTCATCGTGTGCTAGCTTCAAATGGCTTGGGTGGTTATAGCAGTGGCATCTCAATGTATTTTTTCGCTGGCTAAAAAGAAAGTGAAAGGTGATAACAATCGAAAAAGAAACGAAAACTAATGTTAATTTCTGTGATATAAGTTTAAATTCGCTGTAACGTATATTTGATATTAAAATTGCATTGTTATGAATAAAAGACGTCTTTTTCTATCAATAACCAATTTATCTCACAAAAATACACATATTTACACAAGAAAATCGACACTAGAATTCAATATGACAAAATTGGTTCTCATTTTTGTGGTGGTGACACTTCAGTTTTCTGTGTTGACGATTCCGCTTTATCTACATTCAGAATTTTATCTCTATATTCCTTGGGCACCACACTCAAGTACCTAAGAGGAGAATCACAAAAGAAAAGAATAAAATTTAAAATAATCGATAAGTAATCGGAAAATAATCGAAAATAATCGAAAACATATAATGAAAAAATTGCAAAGCAATAGCCACAACAACATTAATGTTCAGCAATTGCTTTAAATTGAGATTTGGTAGTTGTAATCGCGATTCTGTGGAAGAGAAAAAAAAAACAAAATGCTACTACCAAATCTCAATTTTTCGTCAGCAATCTGTTATATGCTGTTGTGACTTTTGTGACACTCAAGTACCACTCAGACGCTTTGCCAAACATTTGAACCAATGTGGGAAATTGTGTATCGACTCGGTTTTTAAAATCTGTAAACAAATGAAAGTTCCAATTTTATACAAAATAACTCTCTCTAACTAAAGATAATAAACATACCTTCATCTGTTTTGTATTCCCTGTATAAGAGATAGCTGGATCCAATTGCAATAACTTCCAATGCGAGTCCAAAAGTTAGTGCATTTTTCGTTGCACTCTTCCAACGAAAACTCGGTGGATTCATTTTCGTGATGAAACAACTTTGACTTTGAATGTAAACTGAATGACATAACCAAAGTTTTTTTTTGCCTTCTGTATACACAACCGATACGAATTGTCAAATTGATGATACGAACGCAACCTTTGCTGTTCTGTTTTCATAAAAACGATTAAAAGCCAATTTTTCGTCGCTATGATATCGGATGTTTATTTTCAGTTATCTTGAGTGTGTTATTATTCATAATTTGGTTGTGGTATGATTTTATTGTGGAAAATTCTAAATAATAAACAAATGTCTTAACTAACAGTGAAATTTACTTAATATATTTTTCCATGAATTTTTTGTGGAATTCCGAGCGTAGCGAATCGTTAACAAAAATGGGCCCTTTTTTATCGGGTTCGGTGCGAGCACAGTTTTTGAATACAACATCTTGATCCCAACGACGTTTAACTTTCATGTCGGATGGACCCGCTTTACCGCTTGAATAATTCAATAATGGATTTCCCGACAGAATGTTTTCCATTCGAATTCGTTCTTCTTCTTGTTTTTTGTCTTGTTCTTTTTTCTCCGCCTCTTGAGCACGTTCCCGCTTTATTTTGTTCAATTCTTCAAGCAATGCGGCTGTATCATCGTCCGAATCATCTTCGGATGACGATGAATCGTCGTCGATTGGATCGTCTTGATCTAAATTGGCCGTTGAAACATGATCGACTTTTGGTTTCTTTGAAGGTGCCGAATTGGCTTCGATTGCACGACGAACACCAGCTTGCCGAACACCACTACCACTTGCTTTGGCCTCACGCTCTTCCAATTCTTTACGGAAATCACGTTGACGAAGTTCGTCTGATGTACCTTGACCATGCTCTCTAGTTGATAAAAGCGGCAAAAAAGATAAAAATCAATGAGACATTGTGTAAAATCGATTCGATCAATTAAATGGAATGAACTCTACCTGTATTTGAGTTTTGTATGACCTGGTAAATCACGGCTGGAGTACTGTTTGGAAAGAGCACTTAAATCTTTTTCCCCTTTACCAGAACCACCACGGGCTGGATCGAATGTTGGACGAGCGGCAGTTGTCATGTTCACGTTATTTTAATCGTGTGAAAAATACAAAAAATGAAAATAATTTCTCTTTGTGCTGTGAATTGACTTGGAATACGATTTAACACGCACTTCACAATAAAAATAATAAATGATTGTGAAATGTCAAAGTCAAGGCAATAGCTGCAACTTCACACTGAAGGTGAATTGAATGTTAAACTTTACCTATTTTGGTGGATTTTTAAATAATTCATATTTTCTTATCTTTTCTCGAAATATTTTATTTAACTTTATTCAGTTTTCTTCTTCTTTTATTCCCTTTTGTTTCTATTCTTCATGAATATTCCCATTTTTTTTTTTTTGTTAAAATAATTTTTGATTGGGTCTAAATATACTATGACAATAAAAGAGAAGCTTTGAAATTGACTTAATGTTTGACCAAAAGATGGCGCCAATGCATAGAATAAAATGCAGTTAACATCGAACCAACTTATAAATTTATTTAACTGAACTTACAACGTACTATGAATGAGCAATAGAAGTTTCTTCGATTTTCAACAACGAATTGACTTTGGTGTGGAATGTAGGAAACAAGTATCCGAACAGCCCGGACAGTGTGTCATAAAATATGATTGTGGTTACCAATTATTTGAAATTCTATTGTTACCATTGAATTTTCTCCTCCGTTTATTGCTCTCTTTCTACTGCTTTGCGAATGCCTCGCCTTTTCTAAAATAGTTTTTATGCAGTTTTTTTTTTCAAATAAAATAGCAAGAAGCTATAAAGCTTACCAAAGGAATGCGCATTAAAGCCCAAAAATACACTTTAAATAAATGCTTGAAATAAAACTACTGGTCATTAAGTTACACAAAAGACGAAAAGTTTATTGAAATCAGTATTTACATGGGTGTAAGCGAGATGTGTATACAAAAAAAGGAGCTATCATCGTCGGGAATGTGTGATAAATTAAACTTTATATTTCAAGTATTAACTACATTAATGTGTATAATTTTTTGATCGTTTCATTTCTTAAACAATATGCAAATGAATGAGACAATAATAGTAATGAAATAAAAAAAAATAATTTTGTGTTCAAACTTAAACGTACAAACAACTGTGTTGATAATTTAAATAGCTTTGCAAGTCTTAAATCCTTATTTCATATTTATTTCAATTGTGTTCGGCTTAGATTTTTATTTCGTTTTTTAATTTTATGATGTCGTATTTCTAATCTTTTGTTTCTTTTTTATTTGATTGAGAATAACCTTAGCTAAAAATAATAATAATAGAGAAATGAAATTGAGAAGTTTTCGTAATCAATCGATTTGTTGCCGCATCTATTTTGTTTGCTCGTTTTATTCTTTGTCTAAATATGAACATTAATATGTTTGAATTAACTCACAACACTCACTACTGTTCAGTGTTTCTTCCTCAACGTTATAAATGCTATTTAGTATGGTCTCCATACACTGCTTGGGTCACCGACTTCCTCATCTCGATTGGCTGTTTCGTGTTCGTTTCGATGATGATGTGCATCGGTTTCATCATTCTCCATTATCACATTTTGATTTTCTGCATTGCCACCGCTCAAACCGATTTCGGTGTTTGCATTGCGAACTGAGCTCAGGCTCAAGCCATTTTCATTTGTATTTAAGTACTGTTCGATTTTATCGGTGCCGTGTAAATGCAGATGAATTTGATTTTGATTTACCGTCGAATAAACTTGTGGATAGATGAGCATTGCTGGTGCTGCATGTGGAACTTGTGGTGCTGGTGGATATTGGGTTTGGGTTGGTGTTTGAATGGTTGCTGCCGTAGTACCGGCTGGAGCTGCATACTGATAATTATTGTAGCCATTTGACCAATTGTTATACGATGGATAGCTCGAATTTAAGGCATCGATGTCATTGAATTTGGTCAAACAACCGGAATTATTTGAAATTGTATTGGTCGGACTATTGCCCGACGATGGAATCAACGATGATGAATTCACAACTGGCGTTAAATGATTCGATGAATGATAGTCAGGAGAGTAGAACGTTTGCATCTCTGAAATAACTGAAAAATTAACAATAAAACATTATCTTTGGAATTGTTCATTTCTTTCTTCGATTACAGCAATATTTTATCGTGAATTAATTGAACTCGATTTGAAAAACCATTGATTTTGTTGAAAGGTGGAAAATACCTGTTGGAATATGGAAATTCGAGTGATGATCGGTCATTCCGTTGCTTGACTCATAGCCACCATATGTTGATGCGGTAGTTGTTGCCGGCTGTGGCAATGCTGCGTTTGTAGGATACGTTGTGTAGTTCGGATTTGTATAACCTATCCATTCAGCTGCGCCCATTAAATTATTCTCTGTAATCAAGTGATAAATGCATTTTTTAGTAATTCATTTTAATGTCTGATCAGGTTGGAAAAAAATCTAGCGATTCTTTCGAAATCGATTGCGATTCAATTTTCAACATCGTGTCATTTGATTCCCCACGAATCATTTGACCACTAAACTAAGTCAATGATTTTTTTTTTTTGCCTGAGAAAACACAAAAATCCGCAAAATTGAATCAAATTCAATTGATCAATGCCGCGATGAGGCATGAAACATTCATCAAAAGTCGACAATTGATGACGTTAGAAAAAGACATAAATCTATGCTGAAATGTATGAGTTTTTGTATCGCAAACGAAGATATATCATTTCATACATGAATAACTGTAGCATTAAATGTGAGATTGATTCATATTTTTTTCGTTCATTCGTTTGCTTGTTCGAGATTGACACTTAATATTGCCGCTGTATTGGCCGTAAAATCGAACAAGCGATGAAGAACATGATCATTTTTCTGTGCATCGATTTCACAATGAATAACTTTTTTCCAGATTTGAATTCATATGGCTTTTTTTCTGTGATGAAAACGCACTCCGCATTTTCCGAATCGATGCTTGTAATCGATATATGTATATATTTAAAGTGCAATGGAGGAACTGCACGCCATCGAATGATAGTTCTTGGCCGTGCACACAGGAAAGAAGACTGAACATATTTGTTTTTTTTTTTAATTACGCGTCGATGATGGGCTCAACAAAGAAATCAGTTGCACAGTGAATCCGATATGCATACGCACAAAAAATGTATAAGTATATACAATGTGATAGTGAACAAATTCAATTAGCTAAGAAAAAATATTCCATTGAAATGGGCAAAGAGTAACATAAGCTGTATACAGCTGCAACATACAATGTCGAAAACATTCAAGCTTTTTTTCACTTACTCTCTGGACCTACTATTGTTATTGTTATCGAGAGAAAGAGAGAGATAGAGAGAAAAAAATTCAATAACTTTAGCATTTATTACTCTGTGTTGCACGCCGTTTGCTACTCTATCTCCGTCGTTAATGTCGCTTGTGCCTCTTAGTGACATATCAAATTTTCTGCTCATAATTATTAACGCTTCACAGATTTATTGCCATGAAAATTAATATTGGTGTTAAAACTCAAGCAAACGGACGGGAACAAGAAAATGGCTTGCATAGAAAATGTTGTGCACAAAAACCAGTAATAAAATTCATTGGGAATTTAAAAAAAAAAAACAAACAAACAAACATAGTATATAAAAACAATGTGATGATAATGAGCAACAATACACACAAATGATTCGATTCAATAAAAAAAAAACCTAATTGGGATTAGAATTAATTAGATTTTTTTTCCGCTCACTCTCTTTCATCGTCAATAATAAATTTAATCAATATTGGATTGAGGTATAAATGCAATTAGATTTTAAGCTTACAGTGTCAAAGACATAATAACCTTGACCAATATGGTTTTATTTTTCTGAGAAAGGGAGATAATGCAATATTGGAGTCATTTGTCCAAACGCCAAAAATTCAAATGTTTATCAATGTTTAAATCCAGTATTGCACCAAATGCCACACTTAAGATTTCTATCATTAGCCTACGTGTGTGAATGTGACCAATCAAATTTTGGAACCAGTGTGACTCATCCATCCATGGGTTTTTTGTTGTTTCTTTTCCCTATACGATTGATTTTTTAATTTCTCAAACTTGTTTAACATTCAAAACGTCAAACCGAAAAAAATGGTGTCTTATTATACACAAAATTAAATCAACGACGGCGCTTTGATCCAAAACTGTTACGGATCGAATTTTAGTGGAATCCAAGGTAATTTGGTGTCAGCGCACTGTTTACATCACGTTCAATGTCTCTTTTATTTGTGGAGTAGTTTTATGTGCACGAACAATGGCCATTGTTTGCAAAATGAACTGAAGTGGATGAGTAAGTGTCCGCATCTAACAAATGAACCGATGCAATTAGGACTTCACAAGCATAAAATCAATCGGTAATTGAGCAATATAAATTTTATGCCACATGGTAATTCTCATATATTTGCTATTTTATTCACCCCCCAATATGTAGTTGATTGAACAACGACACAGTTTTAAATTGACGATTAGCTAAATACACGGCACAATAATTTACCGCCAATTTGTATACTATTTCAATTGCAGCTCGGTCTGAATTATTAAAAATTAAGTTATCATATGCTCAATATTATAAATTACCCTTTAAATTATTCATTGAAATTTTCGCGGCATGTGGATGAAATGAATGAGGTATCTTTTTCCATATTTGGTTAAAGTAAAATTGAAAAGTCGTTGAACATAGTGAATGAATTTCTTATCAATAAATAACCTGATTTTTCTTGTTCAACGAATAAAGTGACCAATACCGAGAATTCGTAATTGATTCAATAAAAAATGATGAGTTTTACCAATGAGTGATACTTGATTCAGAGAGCAAAAATTCGCCTATCTTCGAAAAGATATGTCACTAATTTACGCGCCTTTCAAATTCATGAATGAACGAGTCTTTCGTCTGTCCAGCTGTTTCAATATGATAACAAAAAAAATGTATACGATGACTCGCAAACAGGTTTTATATGATGGTGTTTTAAAAAAAAAACACAAAAATATCCACCGTTTCTCACAATGTTATTGTGAGACATAATATTAGAATCGAAATTTTATTTTCATGTTTTGCTTCATTTGAATAAATTTTAATTTGCGAATTGTCCCACTATTTCATTCTAACATCGGTTCAATTGTTCTGGCGAAAAGAAGAGAATTGTATTTTGGTTTCTCCGTCGCTTTAAACGCATGGCGCTACATTTATATAAATAATTTCAGCGAACCATCATCCATTTGGTTTTTTCGCTATGTTTTTATTTAATTTTTTTGTATGTCGCCACAAAGAATATGACGAAAGATATGATGAAGACACAAACAGAGACTGTGATGTGTGTATGTGTATACGGTCACTACCGGAAATTCTTCAACTCGTTGAATATATCACGAAATATTATTGTTGTTGATTTCGATGCAGTGTGTTTATTCCATACGAATGGTCTATATAAAGCAATGAGAGATGATAAATGAATTGAAATCAATCAAGTTTGTGTCGGTGCGTTCAAAAAGGTAGAGGCAATGATAGCGGCGTCGGCAACCGACATAGACGCAGCTTCGACCCATGTAAATGTCATTATGCAACTGAGGATTGTACGCACCGAATGCAGAAAAACGACCACCAGAAGATGCAGAAATCGGACACACAGCGTGTAAAAGAGAAAGAGTATAAAAAAATCGATTAGCATCATCATTTGTTATCTTTTGCTCATATTTCGCTCTTGTTTTCACTCGTAAAACAACAGCCAATGGTCAATTTGTCGATCGGATAAACCGCAATTTATGTAAACTGACAATATTAACTTAAATTAAAGTGTGATATTTTCGGTTTTTCGGTCTCCCGGCGACGACGATGACTTTGTGTGTTATTCGGCCACGACTTTTGGTTTCGTTTGGCGTGAGGGTTTTTGGTTTTTGTGCGGTAGTAATTTTCTTATATACAATCTAACAAAATGTAAAAACTCAATCCAAAACATGGGGCGCACCGAACACGAGAAAATTTAGCAAGCTTCTGAATTCGAGCAACAGTGTGTTTGCATATATGGGAAGATTGTTGTGGCTAACCGAATTCACACACACCAAAACACAAGCACCATCACCGCATTTTTCAGTGTCACTGTGAGGTTATTTAAAGGGACCATTTGTTCTACATAAAACTGTTTGCATTTTTGTTTTTGATACTGCATCTAGTTGCAATTTGAAGTTTTGATTTTCTTTTTGTGAACCTTCTTTTGCTGCGGCAGCATCAAATTTATATCCGTATTCAAATTCTCAGGACTTATATTTTATTTTTTGTTCATGTGTGCATTTTTACCTGGTGAAGAAGTTTATTTTCGATCATCATTTCAAGAGAATTCACATTTCGCGCTTTGTTTCACTTTTGGTTTCGCTTAAAATTTCGACTTCTTCGAATATCTCGAAACTATCATAAAAACGCTGATCACTTTTCGATCGGCGTTCTCGGGACAGATAAAATTCACTTCGTTTCTTGTTATTTTTCGCAATAAAATATCATTCCAGTTTAAGTTTTTAAGAATTTGAGCAAACAAAATATATATATTTAGTGGAATTGAAAGTGGCCACATTAAATACAAGAATCACAGGAAATGAATAGATTTGTTTTAATTTGACTTTGTCGCTGACCATTTGAAGATGACGACGATGATGAGAACAATCATTGAACGAATGATTGATGACGATTCATTTGAAAATTATTTGCTACTAATGATGCTCCTGCTCGACATCAAAATGTCTAAATTTTGATAGAAAATTGAACAATTTCGAGATGAAATATTGCAGCGTAAATTGAAACGATTAGCTTCTTTTCAGCTACACTATAATTACAAATGCATTAGTAATTTTTCTTTGTAATTGATCATTCGTTGAGTGGTTCTTTCTCTTTCAAGTCATTGGAGACGTTTCTAGAGATTTTTTTCTACTAATTCTTAACCAAATGGAAATAAATAGGAAAGTGGACTTCCTTTTTTGTTTTGAAAATTCGTATATTTAGATAAAATAGTTCTATTTAAATATTTTAAGACCACACAAGAAAATTTGCTCGTTGAAGCAAAGGAATCATCATCAAAACAATGAGTACATCTAAAAACACAATTTTTTTCAACCAAATTGATCAATTTCTTTACCGAAACTATCATATTGCCATATCGAATAAAGTGCCACCCCCGGCTCCACCTCCGAATCAAATGTGATGAGGCTGGGCACGATGTCAAAGGATAAATAATTATTGGCGGCAATTGTAACTCAAATTAATTAGTGCATGTCAATTGGGTCTCGGATGTTTGACCTGATGTTTATAAAAAATAACGGATTTCATGGAGTAATTTTTCCTGTTTTCGTTTCGATTCTGTTAGATTTCAAGACAAATAACATATGCCATTAACCGCACACTAACGGAACAATACCACCGCAATTTGGCCTTCGATTACCAAAAAAAAAAGAACAAGAGATAAATATTTTCCCGTCAATAAACCGTACGTTCGAAAAATTTGGAATGTAACCAACAGAAACAAAAAAAAAAATATTATTCTGCAATCGGGGAAGTTGAAAAACCGATGAATAATAATAATATTCCTCCTGTGAAAAATCAACAAGAGAAATTATAGTGACGATAAATTGGGCAATGCAACTGTGCGTTTCTTATGTTATTTTTTTTTTTTTCGGAAAATGACCTGAAGTGGTTAGCGCACACGAATCCGATGCCGATAGCGAAAAACTCAACCATATGCACACACGAAAAAAGGATGAAGCAGATAGAAAAGAAGAGGCGCATGAAATGTGAAGGCATGCAAAATGCACAAGAATGCAACACGCTGTGCATAGGCCATAACAATAGATATAATTACACAATTGTTCAAAAAGAGTTCATCGGCTCTCGATAATACATATTTTTTTCGGTGCGCTCTGTGAAATCGCATATATACATGTGAAGTTGAATACATAATTGATTGGTTTGAAGGAAGAAAAGTCTGCCGATTTGGGCTCTCTCTCTCATTCACCTTCTCTCTTTGTCTCAAAATTTCGAAAGCAAATAGGCGCACAACACAAAACATACTATAATTGAGAGAAATTGAGGAATCTTTCTCATATTCATTTACCGATATTGTCGATATTCGAAAGCTGAACATTTTTTTTCTCGAGCAAAACTACATTGTAAGCATTGACGCTGAATACAACACCGAAAAGGTGATTATGGGCTTCAATAAATATGTTCGTGCCTTTTTAACTCCGAAAAAATTCCCGAAAATGTGTGTATGTGTTTTTGTTTCAGTTACGTTTCGTTTGGATGATTTTCTTTCCTTGTAAAATTAACTAACAAAGCCATACAACACGCGGCCACTGTGTTATCTACCGTATATTCAATATATAATAGGCTCGGTTAATTTTCAACATAATTATAGGCTGAATATGAAAGGCATCAATCGCATTTCTTTTCAAACAATAACAACAGCTATTGAACATATTGCCTCTTGTACACACACACACACGCACACACATACAACGCACTGCGTACAATCATGAAAAGGATCCGAATTCTAACTGTCTAATATCAATTGAATTTGATGGATGAAATTGACTCAAGTGTCAAAATATTATTAAAACAGATGATTGCATTTTGAAGTGGGTCACCAGCATTTTGGTGAAGGTGCGAAAATTTACAGGTACAAATTCTTGTCTATGCATTCGAAAATTCCAATCTTCAAAAGGGACATCGGTGCAAGGAGAGAAATCCGTATTTTCACTCAAATGCATTTCACGCTTTTGAAAGTAATAGTTGTGCAGTTTTTTCTTTTCGTTCTGTGTATTTTTCGACACGCAAATTTCTTCATCATACCAAAATAAAATTAACGACTGGGAATTCTCACGCGTCTTCAGAAAATATTTTTGTTTTCTTTGCACGAGTGTCTGAAGATTATTTTGAGTAATAAATTGTAAACAAAAAATACGGGGAGATTTTCTCTGGATGAATGGCATGCAATTAACGCTAATTAGTACAATACGGAATGTGTTATTATTGCTCGATTAAAATTGATTGGATTTGAATTAAAACTGAGATCAATAGCATCGAAGCTGTGATTTCATCAATTTTATTGTCTTACAATCGATTTGTTTAAAGGCTTTTTAAGTGTTGGCTTTGTCAATTTACAGCACTTTTATCAATGCAAGTGATTATTTATCGCAACTTTAACGATATATAATTCGACAATGACTAATTTCTTTTTTGGTTGTGTCGCGCGCACAAAACTTCTACGCAAATAAATCCGGTTGTATGACCTAAGCCAAGCGAAAGGGAACTTTTTCGATTCGTATCCAAAGTGGTTGATGTGGCAAAAAAAAAACCTTTTACATTTGATTTAAAGGAGAATAGACGGTGCAAAAGTCGAATAACATTTTTTTTTCGGTCGTTAACAATCTCATTGATTATTTGATGGTGATGTGATTGCGTAAACAATGTAATACATTATGTATATACAGAAGGCGCAATTTTCCATCGGCGTCATCACGAAATTCGATGAATTTGGGAAGTGAGAAAATTTTCAAAACTCCCATTGTAACGTAAGAAATTGTAGTGTCAATTTCGGTGTAAATGCGTTTTTCTTTCGAAAAACAAAGTAAATCAACTAAAACCAGCAACTCAGTCAATTTTAAGCAGAAGTAATACTGAATGTGAAACGAAAAAAAATGCAAAATTACACGAGTGTAAAACGATTTGCTCACATTCAATAACAAGCAGCAACTGTTGAACTGAACGTTATACATACATTATTGCCACTTTTTGATTGGTTCCAATTGATGATTTACATTCGCATATTTTTTTTCGTATGATCTCTCTTTGGACACGTGTAAGTAGCCTGAAGAAAAATCGCTTCGAGCCACTGCAAATCAACATTCTCGACACCATCGACCGTCTGGATGGACATGCGAAACAGACGTACAAAAGAAATATTTTCGCTTACTTTTGATTGAAATTAGCACGTACAGTCGTACGCGCTTACAAATTTGCTTGTAATTGGATCGATATCGGATCAGTCATAATTTACGGGAAGAAAATCAATTTCGTTTCTTGCTATACATTTCATTCATAAAAACAAAATCAATATACATGTAAGTGATGAACGTGCGCATACATTTTCGCCAAGTTCAATTTGGACGACCCTTGAACGAATGAACTTTCTGGAATACATGACCTCGGCCAAAACATTTTATCAGATAATTTCGATGTTTTTTATACTAATAAATGTGTTATCAAGATTTCCATCAAACAAACTAACAGTTCTTCGTCGCAGAAAGAAATGTCTCAACTTGCAACTTTCTCACATGAAAAAAAAAAATTGTGTTAGAATGAAATGTGCAGAAGCAAATCAAATCAAGCGTAAAATTCAAATTGAAATCTTTTGCGATTGAATAAAAAAGGCGAAATTGAGCGCTGCTTCGGCTAAAAAATCTTTGTAAAATAATATCGAACGTTTCGCTATTTTGTCGGGCCGAGTCTGGTTGATTGAAATGGCAGAGTAAAAACAGACAATTCTTCTTTTACATTGCATACCAATGGGAATTATCATTATCAAGTATCGATTGCACCTCGAGATGCTAACACATTACGTGTTGCATATTTTTTTATATTGAATTTAATCATCGCCATTCATTTGCATGCATAGAGATTGTGCATCATCGTCTGGCGAGAACAATTGGTTCGAAGATTGAGAGCACGTACGAATTGGAATTTGATCTAGAGTGTTTTTTTTCTCTTTCTTTAAATCAATTTAATGCACGCTGAGTTCGTTTTAATGAACTTCAGCCGTTTTTTTAATGAAGTACACATCAGAATAACGGCTGCAAAAAATAGCATCCATTCACAATGGGCTGGTTGTGATACAAGAGAGTGAATAGACCTCATGTAAATCAATAACTGTCATCGAGATATGTCGATTTTGCCGCAAAAAAATGATAATGCCAGATCTCTCTAAAATCATATATCCATTTCATTCACAACATGGCGAATTCTATTTTTTTTTTTCTTGTAAAAAATGCATTCGATGCAGAATCTTGAGCATAACGGTTACACTTAAGTCTAAAACCGCATAAAGATATTTACACGCAACATAAATATGACAAACGTTCTTCGTTCACTCGTTGGCTTTGTTCCATTAAACAATTCATAATTGTTTTTCTTCTGCCAAAAGCATGAATATGCTTGCAACATATCTCAATCTATTCAACGCACAAACAACGGAATGGAAAAAGTGCGAACAGGATTGGATACGGTTACAATGAATCAATTCATCTACAAAGTAATAAAACTCATAGAACTTCAAACAAAATGCGATGTTTTGCATAATTTCTATTGCATGAAACAACAGGAAGTCACAAATCAACGCAACAAACACGACTGAATACGACTTTTTAAACAGTCGAAAATCATGTTGCTAGTTATGCTGTGAATTTTCTTTGAAAATTACGTCAATTTTTTCCGTCTCTTTATTAAAATGTATGCCATCCATAATCATTTGCAGATTTTCCAGCCAAAAGTTATAATCAATTTTGATCAAGAAGATAATTAATGAAACTATGTGTTACGAGAGTAATTTCGTATGATATTTATGAAAAATGTTTCACCCCTTTGATTTCGGTTCTATCTTAATTTGGAGCAACATTCATTGAATGTCAATTCATTGAAAGGTACGAGCTCATTTTTGCTTTGACATACTTTTGACGGCACGCATGCTGTCGCTGCCTCTTCTGTACACAGCTGAGCCAGCGAATGACTTAAAAACACTCGACTGAGACGGATAATAAATGAGATTCAGCGAAGAGTTGATTAGGAATTTTACATATTCATAATTAAATATAATGTCGAAGCATGTCACGAATGACTAGAAATCTTATAAATTTTGTGTAACATGTTTGATGTCTATGGAGTCATAAATCATCGCTTTCAAATAGACTCGATGGTATTTTAATTTAAATATTTCACGTAAAAATATGTGTTGCTTACCTTGAATTTGTGGAGCATTCGGTTTGTATCCCTGGCAATCGGAGGCGATTAGACCATTTGTTGTTGAATGAACAGCTGTATTTGAATTGGAAACGGGAATGGATGTAATGGATGGCGCTTTCCTTCGGACAAATTCTAAATCGCGTAAATGGCTGTTAAATGATGAATCCAAAAATGGTCGTTGACCAATTCCGAGCGCACGGAACGGATGCGTGTTATTCGAACCTGATTATGAAATCGATACAAATGTGAGTGTGTGGTTAAAAACGGTGCTGTTATTTTCTTTTTGTTTTTAATGAAAAATTTAAAAAACCTCAAGTCAAAACGGAAACGTTTAATGAATTTGCAGTCAATTTGCGGCTTCAAAAAATAATATAGATTAGATTAATAAATGCCGAGTGAAATATACACGTATAGATTTTTCATTTCGATTGTTGGCTTAAACATTTTGTTATCATTTTTCAATGCGGTTAGTTTCGATGTATAGATGCTTTTTTTATTGTCAAAAATGTACATTGTGAATGTAGTAAATGATTTTATCGTAATTATGGCCAACAAAACCTACCGCTGGCTAATAACTATGTATCCCTGCATATGTGTGTGATGTTTAATATACAGACCGAATTATGCGGACGAAAGAGAGGAAAAAAATTGGTTAGCTAAATAAATGTGCATTTGTAACATGAATATAGAAACGAGATTGGTGGACAATTTGAAATGTCCAAACCACTGTAATGAATTTTTGGTTTTGAAAATTTTCTAATCAATGGAAAGAGGATGGCGAACAAGAGATGTTGTGGTGTGAGAGGTGAAAGAGCACTGAATCATGTTATAGACGCATTTATGCAGACGGAATTAACTCATTATCCGGACAGGAAATGATTATGCTATAGCCTTGTTCATGAGATGAGATTCCGTATTTTCACTCATGTTTTTGCGGTCATTTGGAACCCATTCGAATTCACACCAAACGCAAAGAATTTCATCTGACCCATTCTAAACATTGACATACGCACAAAACCAAAATAGCCCATGGCTAAAATCAAATCGAATGAGGAAACTATTTCATCGTCGTCGCTGTTGTCGTTCTATGTACATTGTACACAGGTGACGAATTACCCTTTTTTTCCGTGTTCTATATTACAAAATTGTTCGAGATTATTACTCTCATTCGGAATTTTGTGACCGAAAAAGAGTTGAAGCCGCATCTCGTTACAAAATGTTTATTGTGTGTGCGAATGTTTCTGTTCCAAATCAAAAAGCCAACCATAATTGCGGCAATATTGTTTTGTTGCTGGTTGATTCAGAAAATTTCCAATAACACCTTCAAATTATCTTGTAAATGAGAGAGAGAGAGAGAGCCGTTTTTGTGCGAGAACAGTGTATGATGGTTTTTCCAACAGCATACAAATGCGTCGGCAACAACGATACATTATAATTTAATGCATATTTTACATTCACATCGGAATCCTTGCATTTGCAATCACATTCATCTTGTGCCTATTGGTGAGCGCACGATACGCATAGCGATGCTAACGTTTTTCGAAATTGAAATATAAAATGGCCATTTGAACATGTACACTGAATCAAATCCATGAACGATTCATTTAATATGTGAATTTATGTGAAAGAGCCAAGGAATACTGTATAGTTTCTGTATCGTCTATTTTTCGTGCCAAAAGGATGGTACAATCACCGGATTTTAACAGTTTCAGGAATCGAAGCGAAAAACTATGCGATTTGAAATGCACGTGTTTCGAACTCACCGAAATGCATCAAATTTTGCATCGTGCATGTACTGTGTGTGCATTGCTGTGCGTATAACATCAAGAGTTGACGGGGGCGAGATGAATTTGAGGGCGAAAAATGGAGTCTTTTTCATTTGATTTGTCATGTTGCACATGATATTCGAGATAATGATTAAAAACATTGTGATTTTTGGCGATTCGATTTCGTAGCAATTCAACTATGCAAGTAATTTAGTGCAAGCGGTATGGTTAATGATAACATTGCTGTGTCTGAGTGTCTTTTTTCCCAATGACACAATACGCATTGTAATGGCCCCAATGACACACACAGACACCAACTGAAACGAACGGCCAGAGCAGAGAGAAAGGTATAGTGTTGTGTTTTTGGTAATGCAGACATTAGCATATGTCAAATGAACAAGTCATCGTTTTTGGTTGGCGAGAAATGTTGCAATATCGGACGTTAAATGTTGTGTCTCCCACATTCGTTCTCATATGCAACCGGTTTCATACATTTTACATGCATTATTGTAGTGCTATATGTCAAAATCATCAGAAAACTCATCCGACACCGACATCCGGTCAATGCAATTTCTCTTTGTGATTCACATTTATCAACCTTCTAGTCACTCTCAATCGCAACAAATTTTACTTTTACGGAAATGCATTTTCAATTGCATAAAATACATGCATTTGTCCAGGTATTGGACATTGGAATCGGATACTAGTTTCAGTTGTAATGGCTCCAAATCTCTGTCGTTCGTAAAATTCATTATTCAGAAAATCGATCCGAGAAACGGAAATCAACAAAGGAATCATTTCATATTTTTCTGTTAAAATGCGCCAAATCAAAGTTCACGTGACACCCACTTGATTTTAATAAAAGACTCGATCGCCTCTTCATCCATTTCATTCGCATGCGATGATGAGTAGTTAATTAGATGAAATCATTGAATGTTGTCATTGTCATTCGAATGGCGAACTATGTGAATCATATATTGAAGATTATGCGTAACACACATACAAACTCGTTCCCGTTGCGCCACAGATTGGATTTCTCATTCAACCCCATCATTAACATTTTACATTGTGAATCATTTTGCGTTCTATTAATTTAAATGAAAAATCCGCATGCATTCACTGAATTTTACTGGTAATTTTATCCTGTTGTAATGATACATACTCATGAAAACCAGTTCACATCGAAACATAATGTTTTTGTTGTGTGATTCGTCGATTATTCATGTTTCGTTGATGTTGTTAAATGAATAATCAGCCACAAATTTTCGATGTCAAAATTCCAGCGTTTCCGGTTCAATAAATTAAATTTTTAACCACGTTGTGAACAAAGTGGCTTTTGCTTGCCAATATTTTTATAAATATAAAAAATTAACTGGTCAATTTCGTGCTGAGACATTTTTTTGTCTCTTTTTTTTGATTCCGAAACGAAAAACCCATGTCGCCAATTGATATCAGATTAAAATGTAAATATGTATGGAAGGGCGATTATACTGGCGACAATGATTCAAATTTAAATAAACGGTGTAACGATAAGGTGCCTTACAGGTATCGCAGTAAATTCCAATTTTTTTATATATGTTTTTGGAAACAGTAAAATGTGCGAGTCTCATTAATAAATAAAATATCTGTGGGTGGTTCAATGCGAAAAATGTCTTCAGATCGATTGGTTTACAATTTGCATACGACGACGGTAACATAACGAGAATCTGGGGGCGGAATTTCAAATTCGATAAGTCGCGCACAAAACCAATCCTTTACATATAAATAAATTCAAAATACAGAAGCACACCAATCGATTTAATATTAACGTGAATGTATTCATTTTAATGAACTTTAGAACGAAAAAATAATCGACCATAATGTATAGAATTGCAACAAATGATTGTGAAAAGAATGAGCAATAATATCGTTGTATATCAAAAATTACTAAAAATTGAAAGTACAGGGTAAAAGAAATGAAGCCAACTGTTGATGTTGTTTTCTGCATGCAATGAGTGCCGCACGCGCCTTCAAGCATCTGTGTAATTATAATGAACATTGAAGCATCATACATATTTATGATGGACATTCGTATTAGAGTGGAGACCAAGGACCTCAAACGATACATCGTATGCAAATAATTACGTTTACAATTTGCAACATATGGTTTGCTTTAATAATTTCACTTGCTTGACAATCTAAATATAAACAACAATTGTTGTGTTTATATTTTTGTTTTCGACACAAAATCGTTCGAAGAAACGTCATGTATCAACTCGTTGAAACATGTTATGTGAAATAAAATTTTAAAAAAATTCTCAGGCTCCTTATCAGTCATTAACGAGAGAAAAAAATATTCCCATGATAAATTAACGCGAGTACTTATCAGTAAGGTATTTCTGGCATTAAAAATCATTGTTGATTTGCTTCTGTCAAATTTTGCTACTTCCTTTCGGTTGGATTTCATTTTTCAATGTTGACTTTGTCAAAAACAAAAACATTTCGCATTTTGATGGAGCACTGTACTTGACAATGTCAAATGTCACGAGACTTTCTCGACGAAAAATGTGACGGAAGACTTGAGTATACTTATCAGACACATTTAAGGTTCTTTTTTCTCTCTCTCTGTTCGGGCTACCACAATGTGGTTGTTTTGATAACAATGAAAATAAAAACATATGTAACGATTTATAATAAATTCAACTATTATCATTACGGATTATGGGAACTGTCGAGAGCTCTTATCACGTGTGATGAATTTGTTTCTCTTCTCTTAAATTTCTCACCAAACGATGAGAAACTATAATAGATAAAAAAAATAATCTCGGTTTCTCTCGGATTGTAATGTACTAATACGGAGATGACAATTTGATATTGAATAAAATTGCAACTGTAAAATTTTCGCAATTAAATTCATAAGGATTCAACAGTAACAGATTTCAAATGTGGAAAATTGAAAGTGCATAAAATGGATGTACGAGAGTAGAATATCACACGAAGGAACGATGCATTTTGTTACATTGGAATGGCATTGCCATGTATATTACATCACATTGTAACACGGACGGCATCGCGTGACTGTGTGATTTCGACTGCATGCAAACTATTTAATTGATTTCAGTGAGCTCTCTATGTATATCGTTGTAAGCTGTAAGGCGTCATGCTAAGAACCTGTAAATGAACTAACGCCCGTTTTCAAACTGTCATGTGTTTGTCAGTCCGTGTAAGCACACCAAAAGTCTGTAATCATATGGTGGCAACTTTCTCCGATTTCTCAACGCTTGTCATTTTTGTTTGAAACTTCTAGATTGTACTTTGCAGTCGCTGTACATTTAATTACTTCAATATGTTTTTTGATTGAACTATATGAAGAGTCTATTTTAACCTTTTTTAAAGAAGATTTTTTTCCCAAAAGGATACATTTAAGAAGTACTTACATGTTTTGGAGCGTGGTTCTCGTGGTCCGTCAACGGTAACTTTAATAGCTGTAAATGTAAAACAATTAGATTGAATAGTTTCTGTTGTTGGTGCTTCAAAAATTGATGTAACCAAAATTGACGATATTTTGTTAAAAACAATGGTGAAACCTACCTTTCGTGTATGTGGCTACCTGAGGGGGGCTGGTTGATATTGTTATAGTCACTGAGAAACTCTTTCCTGCAAAGCGAAAAAAAAACAACGTTAAAAATTTATCCATCACAAGGGAGTGTTCAATTTGCAGTAGAATGGTATTCATTTCAAAAGGGACATTTACATTTGAAAGTCAAACGTCTTTATTAGAATATCTACATGTTCATAAAATGCGAATAGAAAAGTTCATCTTTGTTGATTTAGTTTAAAACTAAAGTTTGTCCACGTGTTTGAATAGATAAATGTTAATGTTATTTGTAAATACTAAAAAACAAATGCAAACGATAAACAAAAGTTGGTGTTTTTATGCAAAAATGAAAGGCGGCAAATCATCTTTTATACATTGAAAATCCTAGTAAGCCGCTTATGATTATTTACTCAAAAAGAAATTAACCGACTGAAAACCACATATGCCGCTCACGTGCAAATGCTGTACTTTGTGCTTGTGCCTCGAAAGCAAGCCGAGAGAGAGAGAAAGGCAGGGACAGAGTATCAATATAAATGATAAAAAAACGCTTATTATTTACCGCTTCAACGATACCAATCTCACAGACATATTTGTAGTATTTTAAATAGGCAACTGACTATAAGAAGTGAAGGGTAGTAATAATATAGTTAATCTCATTTATTATCTTATTCAAATCGTCAAAAACTCGAGCTGTACTCTACGGGTGCATACAAAAGGACAGAATTCCGTACGAAATATCCCATTAAACTCATAATGTGTATTCAGGAGTTTTTTTTATAATTTTCCAATGAGAAATCATAGATAATAATGTTCAGTGGATGAAATATTTGAAGTAATCTATAGAAGGAAAAAATCGACGAACATCATTCGAAAAGTACCGGCTATATTATTGCGTCATTAATCTATTGTCTATTTAAATGAAAAGAGGTTACTACTTTTACGATTAATAATGTTATTAGAATTGTTTCTGAGAAAAAGGCAAAACAATGATGATGTAAAATGGTTTTTTTGTTTATCGGTTCGATGATTTCAAAAGGAGTTTGTATTCCCGTTATGATTTTACAATTCTCACAAGAATAAATATGTTTCCCCTTTGATTTGTATATGAACTAGGTCAACGATTTTTAAATATGAAACTTTAGTTTTTCTGTAGAAAATCGAATGGCATTTATTATTTGTAATCTGCGGCACGAATTTGTGGTTGAATCATTTATGAAAAAAAAAACAACAATCGCATACTTTTGGTAAAGAAACACTTACAACCAAAAATGAGTGATGCCCTTTTTTATCTGTCTTTCCTTTCTATTAGTACAATGTGGAAATTAATTGAATGCAATTAACGTTGGAATGATAGAATGTAAAATTTGAAAGAGACTGAATTATTTGTTTCTTTAATCATTGAATCATAATTTCTCAGATATTGTACGTGTATGATCCATATATTGGAACACCCGATACAAAGAGCCCGTGTTCTTCACTGATGTCTTTTAATTAATAGATCGGTGTATTATTTGGTGATGTACATCTGGCGAAAGCCAAGCATATACCCGATGAAAAAGCGACGATGTAATTTCTTTAATGTTCATCGTTTTTTATTATTATTAGGTGTTAAATTTACAGTAATAAATCCTTCAAACAAAATGCATATAAACACACACACTTGTGCTGGGTTATGTGTATATTTTTTTCTCTCTCATTTAATGGGCACCAATCAATATTCTCTTTTGTATGGTGTGCACGATTATAAGGAGAGGAGTGTGGTTGAAAAGCGGCAAAATTGAGCGATTGAGAGAGACAAAAGCGATTGTAACATTAGACGAAGATCACATTGTTCAGTCATGAAAGAGTGTGAGCACGCGAAAAATCGACCAAACGAAAGATGAAATTGAAACTCAAATGGAAATGAATGGAAAAAGGAGAGAGTATCATTTCCTGTGTGATCTAGATGCATTTATTTTTCGCTAACCGCAAAATATTTCATATTTATATACAGCGCGCGCATGCAGACAAAATGTCTAAGCCCTAAAAATTACAAGATGATCACGACAGCTAGAGACAGTGAGATAAAGGTTTCGAAAGGTTTTTGGTCGTATGTTACATGTGTATCGGTTCCGTCCGATTGGTTTATTGTTTGTAAAACACCGTTGACAATTTACTTGGCACAGCGATCATAATAGACCGATGATATATACCGCAAAATCGTACATCAATCGAATGACTTATGCATCGCAAAAGGTGCGATGAATCGAATTTGTTCAATGGCAGACAAGACACTTTGAATTGTTGTCTTTTTCGGCCGAATAAGACGAATGGTTTTTAATTAGGCTTTGAGTCTCTCTCTCTCTCTCTCTCTCTCTCTCTCTCTCTCTCTCTTTCGCTCTCTGCGTGTGTACGATTTTCGATTTGTGCGAGTTTGTTTGCGTTTTTCGAACAAAACTGAAACAATAAAATTGCATTATTTTTATTATTTCAATACTGATTTTATGACCGACACATTCAAAATAAACGCATATTAAACAATCAATGTTCGTGTGGCAATGCAACAAAATCGAAGCGAGAGCACGCAAAAAGAAGCACAATTTTTATTGAAAATAAACATTAAAATGTGTACATTTGTGATTTACGACGTTGCTTCTCGCGTCGTGTTGTTTTTTTTTTTACGATCATCCGATGCTTCATTTTTTTCTCTTACATTCGCAAAGCGCATAGTATGGTGTAACATATTCGAATGATGGACTCTTTCTGGGCGGATATTACTTTGAAATGTGTATAAAAATTAATTGTTGCAAATGCGAAACGAATCGCCAGTTATTGGCTCTTAACATTTAAAAAGAAAACATTTTAAGGTGAAGCGTACAGCATTTACTTTGGTTAACAAAGTAGCACAGTTACAATATTGCATGTCATTATCAAAATTTTGTTCGCTTGTCGAACCGATCGAAAAATTGGGAATAAAAAACCGTTTTTATAAAATCGAAAAAAAATGGCGAAAATATATCAAAAACTATGACTGAGAGTTGAAGAAAAAAAAGTTTATTGTTACTGGGACGGTTCATCCCAATTAATTGTTCGATGCATGCGATTGCAAACGTATCAATTAGAGTAACAATGAAGAGACAGACATATAAACAGAGACAGAAGGATAGAGTTCAAGTGTACATTCTATAGTACTATTCTGATGCAAATATGGATGAGGCGGCGAAAGTCTGTGGGCCCGAAAAGTTATTATGAATTGATTACGGAATGCGAATTCGTATTGGTTGCACCAGCCCATATTGTCAAGTTTTGCTTGCAATCTGTATCTCATGATTGTTTGCTTTGATATGGTGAACAGCGACGACAAGAGAAAGAGCGAGAGAGCACAAAACCGCAAACAAACAACAGGCAAAAGCCACAAGGAGGAAGTTTTTGGTGTGTATGCTTTTTTCTCTCCTTTTTATTTCAAATTCCAAATCTTTCATGGTACGATTTGAATCGTCGTTTCATCCACAATGACATATTTCATTCCACCAAGATATCCCAACATCGACGACATTGTTATTGAAATTCCACGGTTGATGTCGTTTCTTCGAACATTTTAATCCATGAGTTATTCATTCAGAAATCGAAAACTTTCGAGTGAAATTCAAAGTATGTTTATCGCGCGCAAACTATTACCGCTCCTTTTTGGTATTATTAACGCAAACCATCATATTTCATATTGTTTATTGAGTCTCAATCATTTCTATTCGCAATCGAAACGAATAAAACATTTATGGCAATTAAACCGGTGAATGTACTCTCTTAAAAAGCGTAAATTGAACGCGGTTCCAAACAAAAATCTTTACATCATAAATAAATTGAGTTGGAGTGATATTTTGAGGTTTTCTCTTGGCAATGGCATATGCATATAAAATGGTGCTGGCGTTGAACCATGAACACATATATTTACTATTCAATATGAACGGGAAAAAACGAAATATTTTTCTCCAATAAATATGACGTTGATTTGCGAGTGAAATGCATTCGAAACTGCTGTCACACAGCAAATGCAAATCATTGTGAGACACGAATGCGAGCAAGTGAGCGCGACCATAACGATCAAAATAAATAGCAAATTAAATGGTTATTTTTCCATGCTATTTTTATTCGACGCTCTTTTTTTCCACCGATGATGATGAAAATAAACAAGAATGGAAATGATACAGTCATTATCGTTATCATAAACACATCAAATGCACGTACCAAAGCTCCATGCCTTTTTCAGTGTAATTCTCTGTGCATTTTTTTTGTTTCATTCATGGGATTGCATTGATTATCGAGGTAGAGAGAAAAAAGAGGTGAAATTGAAAATTTTCCGATGGCAAGAGGCATGCTGCCGAGCTTGATCTGTACGCGGAGTTTTTTTTTGTTCATTCAATATTTCAAGTAATCTAGGGTTGTTTGCTCGAAATTCATATTTCACAACAAACATTTTTCCGGGGCCCATTATTATGTGCGGCTTGAATGTCAACCCCGGATGTGCTGTTTTATAAATAATGAAGTTGAAAATGTTCCACTAATATTTGGTGAAACGAACAACAACGCCGAACGGATACAAATGAAAAAAAAAATTGTGCAATGTCCAGTAGTATGATACGGTATTTGAACCGCGCGTGAGTGCAAATAAATATAGATCTAGCGGCATCAAAAACATTCACAATAATAGTCTCTCGCTCTCTTTCGCATTGAACTCATACCCTAGTTAATGGTGACATTGATATCGTCGCCCAAACAACCAATAAATTGTTTTTTGCAGTTTGTATGTGTGGTTTTCAGCTCACAGCATTTTTGTTGCTAAATGGTTCCGGCGAATGAATTGCTCATTTGAACTAGTTATTTTCACGAATTCAAATTGTCCATTGATTTTTTTCCAATCGGTTGCGATCAACTGATGGTGAGTAGCAAACGAACGCAGTTGAATACACAAAGATTTTTTGAGTAACTTTATGCTAGAATTGTTACTTCATTAAAAATCGCCGGCAATACTTTTTTCTCTTCTTTTTTCGTTACTTTCGATTCAATCGCAAAAAAATCCGTTAGCAATTGTCCTGCTGTGTGAACTGAAAACAATTCGCGTTCGTCTCGAATGTTATGTTGACGATGATGTTGATGATGGCTCCATTAATTTGAATTCATCACATTTTTTTCATGTCATGTGTCATAAATGTCGACATTATATTTTCGAGCCAAATAACTGCTAAAGAACTGTTTGCGAAGGTTTTTGTTTCAAAAAGAGTATTGCATAATTTGGTTTTGATTGAACTTGGTCAATTTCGGGGAAAAACCAATTTGAATTCCAATCAAATTTCGAAAAAAATGGTGAAAAATCAAAAAGTTCATTTGCTGGCGATATTTTGAAATTTGAATTGAATGGACTAAATCGAGACGAAAATTCATTGTTCATTTTTTTTTAAATTCAAAATCAATCGAAAAATATGTGTAAAAATCGATAATGTTTCAGTGAAACAGTGTCGATTAGATTTTAGTCTGTAAACTGAATGTATCGTAGTTTATCGCCTTGAAAATATGTATTCATATGCATAATGACGACGATGGCACATGGTCTGCTGCATGAGTTGCGTCATGCAAGAGTGTGAGCAATACATGGAATCATTTTCATTTGATAGGAGACATGCAAATATGATAAATGATTTCGGCCGGCCTGTCATTGACAGTCAAATCATAATTTTGCTACTAATAAAGACTCCGAAGCAACGGATCTCTCTCTCTATTTATATGTGTATCAATGTTTGAAAACGTCAACTGCTTTAAACGTATAATTTGCTGCTAATCCAACTCACCCTACGCAAAATCATATGCGCAAAATGAAATAACGTTAAATGTAATCAGTAGAGTACAGCATAGTTTGCTAAGCAATAATTGCGAGCAGAATTCCATTGAAGTTTCAAATTAAATGGAGCAAATACTTCTGCATTGAGGAGTTTTGTTGCTACGCAAAATTTTAAGGAAGTTGTGGTTGATACGAAGACGTACAGTTTTGGGAATCCCATAGGATCTTGGAAAAATAATGATCTTTTCCAAGGAAATCCGATTAAAACAGAAAAATATGACAAAAACTGTTTTACAGTAAAAGTAAATATTATTTTGTTCACTTACCTCTTCCAGAACGACCAACGAATCGCAAGTCATTGAATTTCGCTACTTGATTTTTCATGACGGCCGTACAATTTCGTAATTCCCCGCACCAGTTGTCGTCGTTTCCTGCCCGAATTGTGACAATTGTACCATCACCAACATCACTCAATGCGACCACTTTGAATGCAACCGGCAAAGTTTTGTTCGATCGCCAGTGCTGGGGTAATGCTGAACATAAAATATATGGGCTACCAGTACGAACTGCAATCAATTTTAAAGAAGAATATATATATATATGTGTTTACTAAAACAAAATAATAAATAAATTATCACGTCGAGAAAAGCATGCAAATTTTGTTCGAAAAAATGACGTTGGATATAAATATCAAGTGTCTGAAACTTGAGCAATGCAACTACTCATCGAATATCAATCAAGCAGAGAAAATCATTGCATGTTCTCGTTGAAATAATTATCATTAGTCGACGAAGCACACTTTCCTTCGAAGGGCACAAAAAGGAGCGTACATAATGTGAACAGGAAAAAAGTGCCGAAATTGATATTGTGCACACTTGATGTGTCGATGTGTATTTATTTTCAATTGAAAAGGAAAGGAACAGTCCAGTTTTCATGGACATCAAGAATATTACATTACACTGCATTACAATAAGTTATTGCAAAAGATTTTTGTTTACCCATTGCTTAATTTGACTTAATTTAATGTTCACTTTTCTTATTTTTTGAAATTCTCACAGCAAAACATATGGTAAATTTGATTGAAATCAGGGGACATTTTTCGTTCCGAGAAAAAAATTGTGTGTAAATTAAATAGGATGATATTAAAATTCAAAGAATTGAGTTGAAATCGGATGTGGTTTTGTTTTAAAGTGTGTAGGTAGTACATGGGAATCGATGAACTTAGCACAAGAAGCGACCATATTAAAAATGTACCTAATTCATTTGGGAATTCTTGCTGGGCTTCAAGTACTAATCGTTCGGTCCACCAGAGATCTTGGGATGATGTGGCCGAACCCAGTGGCGATGTTGTTCCCGATGTGGAATGCTGTTGCTGTTGTGAATCCAGTATGGCGTTTGTTGATTTACTGCTTTGTGTAATGTTTGAGTTCCAATCGGATTGCGGTGGTGAACTGGGCAAGTGGTGATAAACTGCCGTTGGTCCCGTTGGCAGATGCATTTGAGATAAATTTTTCGGAGCTATTTTGACGAATTTCCAACGAAACTGGCAATTTTATTCCACAATTGTCGTCGTTTGGTTCAGTTATTTTCTATTTTGATCGACTTTACAATGTTCAACACAAAAATTTACAATGTTCAATTTGTTTAAATTGTGCAAGACGGTGGGAAACGTTTCGCTGCAATGATTTTTCAATCACAATACGTTTTTGAGCTCGTGATTACACTTCAGATTGATTCTCTGTTTATTGAAATGGCAATTGAATTTGCGCTCAATTTAATTTCTCTTTTGCGTCTTTTTTCTCGCATTTACATCGACGAGATTTAATTATATATTTCTGTGTTGACAGTATTGTTCATGGAATTGGAAGAAACAAATTCATCATTTACGTAATCGATCAAAAATGTGTGTTGTTGCGCGTGTTAGCGTTGCAAATGATGACCTTTTTATAAAAACGGAATTTTAGATTGATTGAATGCGTCAAAACTGCAATTAATTCGCTCGTTAATTTTTACACGTTAAATTTATTTGAATTCTTTACATATGCATTTTTCGTCTCTTTCGTTTTCGTTTGTTTGTGTTGTACAAGTTCAACTGAAATTTGTTCAACTTTTTAAGCGTTTATATAATAAATATCTTTATCGAAATATTCACACACATACACATTGGGTCATAACAGTTGCACTAATGTGTCAATGGGTTTGTCACCTTTACATTTGTTCAAATATTTTGGTCGGTGCTTGAATATGCGTGCGGCTTGTCACACACTGATTCATCATCATATTTCAAGCGAATTTTGTCCAATTGAATGCGTTCACGAATTGGCCGTTTTGTTTGAATCGAATTTCAAAAGACACACACGTAAATTCTCTAAATGAAAGCTTCACACGAACGCGATCAAAACAAAAAAAAACGCAATTCAAATAAAGAAATCTGTAAGCGCGCGATTAAATCGTAAACTCAGTTTTATGGATTATACGGTTAATGTGTATGTGTTTTTTTATTATTATTTTCGTTAATTTTTTTTCTCGTTTCTTTTGCTTTTGCAAAACAATGTTTGATCTCTACTCTACGGCACACATAAATCGTTTCACACGAGAGTGATAGACGTTCTGTTGTTTTCATGAAGTGTTCACAACATCGACTAAACGCAAATAAACACTTGATTCGGTTTTGAGCAGTGGTTTCGATGCTTTTGTACACACACGTTTGTGACTGTGCCGCATTCAATATTTACTATGTGCTTCGCTTTATTGTGCATTCCCTATCTATCGCATTCGGTTGTGAATGTGCTTTGGCACACTGTTGATATACAAACGATACATCGCATACTCTCCATTCCATGTATCAGGCGTTGTGTATGCGTAAGCTGCTTTTTGTAGCGTGGCGGCTGCGGGTGTCGATATGTTTGTGTGTTTCACGTCATTGCTTTTACATGTGTTTGATCGCTTCTTTCGAATATTGTTATTGTTGTTGTCTTCAACAGCAACTCCAGTTACCGATAGTGTGCTTGAACGCGTAATTACTTGTTTTATACATAAAAATCCACACGACCGAGTGTGTATGTATTACTTAACATTGAGTTTAAAACGAAACGCTACTGCGTCGACGACTTGTGCTGTTGATATTTTGTGCCGTATAGTTGCACAAGAAAAAACCCAAAACGTATTACCCTCTGAGAGTCTGACTCAATTTCTCGAGTCAATGGAAAAAAGACCATCTAAATTTAGATAATCAAACGATCTGGAATCGTCACAATTTTTTTTCCAATCGATTACGATTTGGAATAGTTGACATTGAAATTAGTTTTACTCATCACTTTTGTTTACATTAATGAGAGCTGAACAGCAAGCACATGAGATGATATACTGGAGATTTTTTTCAGTTTGATTCATGCATTTTCCCATATACGCAACAAACTCTACTGTCGTCATAGGTGAAAATTCCGAACATTTAAACAGCATATAATGCATTCGGGTGTTTTCGATAAGATATATATATATATATATCAATTCCGATCACGCTTATTCTAGTATTCTAACTGTGACTGACGTAATATTATATTTATTGAACGAAACTGAACTGAACTTGTATCTAATACTCACTTTCATTTAAACTAGCTAGAGTTTTAAAACTACTTTCCAAAAATTTATTTGTATAAAAATTGTACTAATCTCAACCGTCGGCTTATTTAAGTAGACGTAAAAAGCAATAAATAATAATAATAATAATAAACGAGAGAATCATTTGGTGTGAGATTCAATGAAAGAACACTATTTTTTCCTCCGCTTAAGAAGAGGTTGTAGCGGATACATGGCAATCAATACCAATTTAATAGTTAAAATTACTTCAAATTTGCCTTTTGACCACTTTGAAAATGCGATAGAATTCGTTAACATTTAAGTTACGTCTGTTTTAATTAAAACACTTAAGTGACTCCAGCTAAAATATTACGGATTTTTTAAAAATTATTTTTATTATTTTCAGCCATTCTAATTCAGAGTTTGAATTTGAGAATTTCAAATTAAAAAAAAAAGAAGAAAAAAAGATGTTTCTATGTCAATTTTTAATAAATGAAATGGATGCATTCATGACTACAAAGAATAAAAAGGGTCTTCTAAACTCAAAGTGCCGTGGTTTTTGACTAATATTTCAACCGCGACATTTTGAAAACTTTCCGCCAAAAGTGATGCTTTCAAGTACTAAGACCAAGAGAATTGTCTTGCTTAACTCGTGAAAAACATTGAACCCAAAGACCTGAAAATGCTCTTCAATATTAAGAGTGTTTACAAAATTGGCGCAAACTGCATCAATTAGCTCATATACCGTCATAGAATGGTTAGCATTTTTTTTTGTAAATAAACAAAAGGTTAATAAAATCGTTTGTAAACCGCATCAAATTTGGTGATTTTGTTTATTGTTTGACTGGCGAATGACATAAGTGAATGAATCGCATTTGGTTGGCTATTTTTGTTTGGGAAATCCGCAGGAAATCGAAAAAGATGTTCAATTAAAAGTTGTCGGTAGATGATTTAGACGATGACCTTACTTATACTTATGCATAAATTGTGGCTACGGAACAAGTTTGATGAATAAGCGCATCTACAATTATCAAAAAAAAAACCGAATTCCTGATTTTCCCCTCTTCATGTCGTCAATTTAGTCACAGACTGTGTCTTCCCCTTTTTTGTGCATCATTCTAACGCAATTCGGTTATAAAAGCAAGTCGGTTCAAGTATTTTTCTAAACTTTGTCTAAAAAAAGTGTAGTGGACTCAAAGTCCAACATATATTTCTGTTTTAAAATTTGGATGATTCGGATATTTCTCTCAATTTCATTTTTAAATATAATTGGCAGAGAAGATTGTACAACGTGATTTTTCCTAATATAATAATAATAATACTATTCTCAAACATAACGTGAGTTATCCGCCACGTGACACCGTTCATTATCCACAAAATAACGAATCAAATTCAATTCAATAAATATATGTATATTTAAGGAATTTCAAATGTTTACAATTTACAGAGAGAGACCCAGGCATATCTATGTCCATTTGGTTTACCTAGCATTTACACACATTGTAGGATTTTTGTGTGCACTGCGGTTTAAGGTATATTCCACAGATTCTAAGTGAATTAGGAACCGCATCGAACCTCAAAACAGTTAGTGGTTTTTTGGGTTGTGGCCAAAGTTTGTGTGTGTGCTGTGCTATCTCTACCTCTGTGTGTGATACATTTTATTTATTATTTAGTTTTAATTGAGTTGACATCATAATGATCCAATTGTAATAGAGTTAATTGTATATTTTTAAGAGATACGGTCGGTGTGCGCGTGTTATTGATAGCGAGTGATTAATTTTTGTGGCGTCTGCGACTAAAACTGTGTTATTAGGTGAATTTTTGTTCTAGACATTTTGATAAACATGAAATTATGGCATTTTTTTTTCTTCAAATGACGTGTTTCCATTCAAAAAATATTATCGAATCGATTCCTCCCAAAATTATGTACACCGTGTTTGTGGTTTCAAGAAGAAAATAAATGCAAATGTAATCCTTAGATATAATTGTTTGAGAAAAGAGGGTTTCGATACTCATTACAGCATGAATTTTCTTACGGTAAACCATCTTTCAAAGAATAAAATGTTTGTGTAATGTGTCGCGAGCCAAGCCTTTTACACTTCATGATTCAACGGTTTGTTTTGCATTGAATCATAAAAAGAGTGTTTTGGCATGCGCTTCCGCCCGTTGTGATTCATTCACAATAGACGCAAACATACGAAACGTAAACACATTGGCCACGCCTTTCGTATTGTATTTGTTATTCTCCACTTTGGTTGTGAGCTATTTTTACACCTAACAGATGCTGCACTCTGTTCCATTCAAAAATAAATGATCTTTTCACGTCGGTTTTTTGTTTAAATAAAAAAAATCGAACAAGAGAATTGAAAAAGTTGTTTTATGAAGAATAAAAAACAACATGTCGACTATATTATGCGGTAGTTTTCTACTATTGAACTTGGTATACTTGGCTACAATTATTCGGATATTTATTCATAATTGATGTCTTTTTTTGCGTGTGAATGATTTTTGTTTACGTACTGCAACAAGTTTTTGAAAATTGGGTTTGAGCATTGCGAGGCACCGCCCTAGAAAATTCACATGAATTAAAAGCACTGTTCAAACGTATATTTTCATTTATTTAGGGAATTCTGCCAGTCTCCGCCTCGGTACTCGACCAGAAATATATATAATTCGATTCGGTTTGTTGTGTGTTTTTTTCCTCTTCTTTCATTTTCAGTGTAGCGTTTAATCATACGCTTGGAGCGGCCAGCAAAAACAAAAAATAGCTTATTGTGGTTTTTCCTTTAATAGAGAGCTGGCCTTTTAATCTGTTTTTTTTACGTTCATTCCTATCTTCATTCAGCAGTTTTTGCATACAAACACTTTTTTCACCGTTGCTTTCTTCTTAATTCCATTGAAATATTCATGTTCATTATTCGGCAAGCGTATTTTAAAAAAATATGAGAAAATGATCAACAGAACATAAGTAGAACGTTAATTTGAAGAAGAGAAAAAAATGAGAATATATTACACAAAGATAAATTACACAAATCATAAATATCAAACAGAATATGAAAATACTTCATAGTCAAAGTGAAATTTGTAAACAGATGACAAAAGACATTGGAAAATTGCACACCGTTCTGGAGTTTTTTCATTGTTGAACACGTGCCATGAAATCGTGAGCTCATTATCAATAGGTTAAACATCAATACATTTAACTGATAACCACAAAGCAGGGCTTTATTTTTAGAAACGAATTCTTTGACATAGTGTGAACTGTGAACATGGTCGTATACAAGAGATGGCACATGAAATCAACTAAAATATATACGGACATATTTTTTCAGCTGAAATAATAATTTTTTTGTTAATGTATTTGTCGTGGTCATCAATATCTCTTTGCAATGAGATGTGAAAGATGGTTTGTCAGACCCTTATTCGACCCTTGCCATTGAAGCAATAGTTGGTTAATAACACATTCCAAATTAGTCAATTCACATTTACTGTTTTGCAAATGTGTTTGGTGTACTTTCTCTTCAGAAATAATATACTGTTTCTCCTAACGATAAATTCCCATTTGAGAATAACATCTCTCATGAGAGAAGGTCTTAATGATAATCAATCACGACTGTCCACCGCTGATGGTATGAAAGCATTCTATCCACATTTGAAACTCACAATGTATAAACACATTCGCAAGAAAAGCACATTGACAGAGCGAGAATACTAAACGACTCTGAGCTTGATGCAAAAGCTTCAGTGTACTCTCCAGTCTCCACTTTATATGATTTTGTACTAAAAAGTATCCCTTTTTCCATTCAAACATTTGCTTACATGTAATTTATTGACTTTGATAAATAAATATCAGCATAAAAGAAATTTAATTCACTCTTCGAAATCACTAGGACAGTTTTACTTACTTGCTTGCAAAGAAATGATGAAAAAAGTTTGGAAAAACAGCACACAATTGAGAAAACAACAGAATTATCGAATTTTGAATTATCATTTTTATTAACCATTCTCCAGATTGATTTTTTTTATTGTTAAGTAGCAATCGCCTACTGCGTTCATATCTGAAGAGGGGCAATCTGAAATTTCTATTTGTTTACATAATTTTCTTTTATATATTCTGGCATAATTCTTTTTTAGACATATATTAAAGTTGTGCCACACTTAACCATCCCAATGCATTTAACATAAACTTCTTTGAATATTATTCGCTCTAGCCGATGAATTCCAAACACTCTAATGACTCTTAGTATTCAACATTCTCTTCAAAGTATTCGATGTATTCCTAAGTATTCTCCAGTATTCTCAGTAATATGATATTTAGTTTATGCAATTCACTGTAATCTCGGTATTCATACTATTCAATGTAATAATAAAATAGATAATATTGATTTTGCCAAGGTGTCTACCCTCTAGATGTTAATTAAATTATCATTTTTATTAACCGTTATCCGGATTGAATATTTTTTATTTCTTTCGGTTTGCTTTTCGATTTTGATTCGTGAATTTTAATTTAAACGATAGATTTACTAACTTTTATTAAATGAATTGGCTGTCACCAGTACTGCGAATAATGAACAACAGGTGCTCTGGCCCTTTAGCCTCTATTAAATGTTCCGATGGTTCATCTTTGTTTAAACAAATTAACTTTACAATGCAAATGTTTGACAAAACTTAAAAAAAAAAATACTTTTTATAAACACAATTAAACATAAAAAATGGAGATAACTGAATCAACAGAATAGCTACAATTAAATTAAACGCAACAAAAAATAGAATTAAATTGATTTTGATCGATGTTTGCCTTCGTGTTGACTTTAGTTCTTCTTCCAAGCGGTAGACACTTTGCTTTTTACGTGTGCGTATAACGGGTTGACCGAGTTGAATTGTTTGTGTACCATCGCTGCTCTATTGATGTTGCCATTGTGATCTTTTTTGATTTGCTCAATGCGATGCTTCAACGCGGAAATCTGGGAACGTAAATCGTTTGCTTCTTCTTGGAGTCGCTTATTTTCGGAAATTAAACTGTTCCTTTCTTCTTTTTCTTTTACCAATTGACGAAGCAATTCATTATTTTCTCTTTCCAATTGTTGACGAATTTCGTTGTTTGTTGTATCGAACATACTACTACGACTGTTAATGACAAAAATTTTGCGCAATTCATTTTTACGACGTATGGTGACACGGCAATGTGGACACGTGTTCGAACTCTTTAACCAATCGTTCAAACAATCTACAAATTAGATCATATATATCACCTTTAGAATCAATTTCAAACAAAGTGTTTTATAATTATTCATCAAAATTGAAAATTACCAGTGTGAAACATGTGACCACATTTTGTGACGACCACTTCACTATTGTCTTTATCGAAAATTTCATAACAAATGCTGCATTCAATGGCCATTTTTACGGTTTTTGGTGGGTTTTCTTCTTCGATGTGACTTCCTTGAACGATGACAAATGAATTGAATATTGCGAATAATGATAGGCAATGCTTTGATCCAATGTTCGATCTGTTTGTTTTTTTATTTAACTTTAAAATATAATGCAAATGTGAATACAATTAAATAAAACATAAATGTTTTATGGTCTTCCACTTCAATTCAATTATAGAGTACAGTTATTGTAATAGAGTTTTTTTTTGCACAAATAAAAGACTAACATTTAATGTGAATGCTTTGAGTCTTGAACGATGATTAATCACAATGAGAACATGCGTGTGTTGCACCGACTGAGATTGAGCGCGCAACTTGCACACACTGCAAATAGTACGACGATTCACCACTTGACACTTTGGCGTCACTTACAAGTTTCTCTTTGTAACGAAAAAAAAATCCCAAAAATTATGGCAATATTTTTGTAAAAATAAAGATATTTTTTTTTGTAATTTTTACATAAATTTAACACATTTTTTGTTCGAATTGGAATAACATAAATCATATAAGAAAGAATTATTCTTATTCGACGGTACAAAGACTATCTTTAATTCTTATTAGATAATAAATTCGATTTTTTTTAAAGATATTCTTTTCAGAAATTCAAAAGGTGTAATTTTTTAAGGATGTTTATTTCATTCGGAAATGATTACAATTCAAATATATATGAACATTTAAAATTTTCAAAAAAAAAACTATAAAATGAAACAGTATTTTACTGTTAGTTTTGGATTAAATTATTAAATTGTTGATGAAATTCGCTCATATTGAAATCTTCATCTTATAACAGATATTGGGATACTATTCGAAACGCGTTTGCTATTGATGTGTTTCCAAAAAGATTTAAGATCACTCTTTAGTTGCTTGGTCACGGAAATAATCAGTAAATAGTTTCTTCCGATAACTTCCATAGTCTTCTTTTCTTCTTAAGGGCTTCATTCGATATTTCATCATGACCATTTCGTGACTTTCAGAGGAATCTTACCTTTTTCTGTTCTTCATCAATTCAAAATGTTATAAACCTGCACAAAATACATTTGTTCGTCATTTTACAATAAAATTTATTAATCAGTAGCATAAAAATTCGGTTTACACTTTACATTACATAATATAAGACTCACAATAATATACTTAATCATTGAATTTCAATGACTTTAAAGAAAAAAAAATACAAGTTTAAATTTGAAAACAGAGTCAATAAAACCATTTCTATTTTAAAACCATGGTTTTGTCATTAAAGTTGTGTGATCATACAAATCGTAAATATATCGTCTCGTTCTGGCTGACTTTTTGATCAGAATGACGTCGGACACAATAATGACTCTAGAACTGTGAACATTCATGTCGTTCACTTGTAATCTGGTAAGATTTCATACAAAATTCAAGCGTCGGATTCGTTAGGTGGCTTTTGAACTAAAATCCATCCATCTTCGTTGGTGCTTGTATTGCTATTTTGTCGATTGAATGGTGTCCGGGGCGTTGTGGATGGAGTCGGTGCGGCAACCGTTACATTAGGTCTCGTATTAAGCCGTATCAGTTCCAATTGCCTTTTTAAATTTGCTTGAAATTGCATGAGCTCCTCCTGTAAAGGAGGAATATCACATTTTTGAATATGAAATACAATGAATTACACCAATATGCTCACCTTTTCCATTAATTTATTGCAAATCTCCAGTCTTTCCTGACGTTCTTTGGCATCCATCCGCGATAGGATCTAAGAAATAAATGAATAATTATCATCTAGAGTAAACAATACGAATCAGTGTGAATCATAACATACCTCATCCCGATGCTTTGTGACATATGCTATTTCAGTATGGATCTAAAATTGACAATGAAATGAAAAAAGGTAATAAAATAATTGGCATTCCGACAGATTCTCTCTGCAAATTACAATATTGCAATGCACGAACCTTTAAATATTCTTTGGCAAGCTGGTTGTGTTCTTCGTAGATTTCTTTCGACAAATCACTATTTGGATCTGGTGGTTTTGGCCTTAAATGTGGCTCTAGCATTAAATGTAATTGATCGGATGACAAATCGTCATTATCGGCGCCTCCATTCGCTTCGTTGCTTTCATCAAAATTGTCTCTGGTCGTGGTCGTTGTTGTTTTTGGTGAATTTTTGTATGTTGTTGGATTTGTGGTGTTGAGTACATTGCCAAGAAGGGTACGTGCATTATTTGAAGATGATGCGATTGCAGTTGATCTGGTTTCAGTGGATGGCAGTCTTTCATTGCTTTGGCTATTGGCTACAATGAAAAACAATATAAATTTTCTCTCATTTTACCGTAATTTAATTCAAAACCTGGTTAAAAATGAATTTTTTCATATTTCACAATTTATAAATGACTAATATAAAATAAAATCCTACAATAAATAATCCAACAATATCTCATTCGGCTTTGATTTGACACCATTGTGGTAATTGATCCGTCACACATTTTATTTCGTTGAACTATTTTTTTTTTTTTTTTTTTTCATCAAAACAATTTTATTTGCTGTGCATTCATGCCAGTATGAATTTGCTCTGTACGTTGGTGAACATTCAACTGGCCGACTTATTTTGATTTTAGTTCACCACAAAATGTATGTGTAATAAAAAGTACGATATTTTTAAGTGGCACTTAGTTGAAAAGATCACATATACATAACAAATCTTTTGAACAGCGTTGATGATCTACAGTACACTTCTATACATATTTTTTTCTCTCTCATGCCACAATCAAATACATCAATTTGAATGATGATTTGGCAACATCTGTAGAACAGTCTGATTTTTCTTTTGAATTGACTAAAACATTGGCAGACGACGGTGGCAGTAGTTTTGCGCCAAACGAAATATTCTCAAATAGCATTCGGGAATATTACAGTAATTGCTCGCGCACAACAATTTTTATGATATATACTTTGTTTGTATAGATGTATCGAACAGTTTGCGATGATGACTCATGTCAATCTGTTAGCAAGCGAACAAGAGAACGAGATCGATTTTCTATTCACAATTTATAATTTTCATCATCAATTAGCATTTTAACAACAGATTTCGTCTTTCGCGTTGTATATACGTATGTATGTATGCACATTCACTGACTTTATACGGTTTGTTTAAATAAAATTATTGGTTTTGGTAGCTTAACCCCAAACATTTGTTTCAAAGCGTTAAATTGCAATGAATCACTCGGTAAACGGCGGAATATATTATTGCAGTTGTGAATAGTTTTCAACAAGTTATTTTTTCTCGTTTTCTTTTAGAATAACAATTTTGGTTCGATCTCACGATTTTCACAGTTTCTTCCAAACTTCCAATTTATTGCGTTCGATTTGAATGTTTTCATTTTCGTTCAGTACGATAAATAAATATTTGTTTTCAGTCAACATCACAAAAATGAAACTAATTAAATATTTGCTATGGTTTTTTCACATAAAGGACTCCGTTTTCACGGACGAAATTATTCTTCTCATAGTTTGCATAATTGAAACATATTTTTTTAAAGTGATTTTCCAGGACATAAATATCACATGATGTGAATTTTTTTCTTTTTGGTCGACTCGCCGATTTTATGGAAGAATTTTATGTACACGATTTTTATCTAATTTGAGTGCTTGTCGATCGCAATCGATTTTTGTTGGTGACATTTTTTTGAATGTCCCGAGAATGACTGAACCATCTGGCTTCACATCAGAAACTGAAACTGATTTGCAATCGCCAGAATGTTTAGCACAAAGTTCAGTACACATACACAAACATTTATGTGTTTCTTTTCCTCGCATAGAACCAGAGCATGCTGCACACAGCCAGTGTGAATGCGATATGTGATTTTCAAAATGATCGTTGTTCCTCTGTCACTCTACTTAAACTAGAGTAGAAGATTTCAAATTTCGAAAGCAAACGGTGAGTCAGCCGTGTGTGTAAGCGCGCGCTCGCGCTGCCACATGTGTTTATTTTTTTTCTCGTTCGTTTGTAACAGAGATGTGATGAATAAAAAAAGTCATAGGAAAAGCTCGTTATTAGTTTATTTCAAGTCAGTGCAGGAACAGAAACGGATGGCAAATGTAAATAAACAAAACCGTCAACAAAAAGACTCACAACGACGCAATACGAGTTAAAATTATAAATCTACTTGCAAATGGAAATCTTTCCACCAAAAATCAATTCATCTGTGTGCTCGCGCGAAATTGATGGCGGGATGGTTGCTCTGTTTATTACCGAATAGTATTTTTTTCCCGCAATATCATGTAAACGTTGACAAATTGTTGCTGTTGTGATGAAAGTGATGAAGATGATGAACACTTTTTTTTACTGTTCAAAAAGAAATGGACCAACATTTGGGGAATTGGCTGAAGAGTATACGCGAAAAATGATACAATAAAAGAATGGACGCTTGCGCGGATTGAAATGTTGTTAGTACAAATATCTACGGTATCTCGTTTCACATCAATATTTGGATGCGTAAAATCGTGCTCAAAACACACACAAAAAAAAACATTCCGAACTGTCCGACGAGAAGGAAATTCGAATTTGCGTATACGTATATAAATTTAGTAAGCGGCGGCTATTTTCATCACAAATTAATGTTTATTTTGGGTTCACATCATTAAAAACACATTGAAAACGTAGAATATTTCTTGTGTATGTTTTTTTTTGTGTGAGCTCTCTTTACAGAAACATTTTCACTGATCTCGTTTGTTTTGTCCCCTTTGCATGGCATCAGTGACTCATACACGGCACGATATGCTGATGCAGCTTGTGCAGTCACACTTTTTGCAAAGACAAGAGAGCGAAAGTGACAATTGTCACTGTTTACTCTTCGTCTGTTTTTTTTCCTCTCGGCTCGGCTATCATAAGTGCAATTCAAAAACATCTTGCCTTACATTTGCACGCATTATTTCATTTTGTGACGCGTCGACTAATTCACCAAATGGAATATACAAAGTTGATTTCGAATAAATGTCGAAATCACGCAAATAATAGGCTTCAAAAATATTCGTAGTGCACATAGTTTTTCAGTTTGTTCGATACAAAAATATAACCGTATAGCACACATCTGAGAAATTTATAAGCTATTTTCGGATGCATGAATCATTCGAAAATGTGAATACAACAACAACGACGACGACAATAGCAATATGAAAAATACTGTGCAATAGACAAAGATCTATTTTTTACGGCAGCCTATGGCAGTGGAAAATTTGTTCGCATCACCTCTGAATACTGAATTCGGTAAAATGACTTTCTCCGTTTGACGAATCATGTTCGGTCACATTGTGATGAAATACACGCATATTCATTTTCCAACGAAATGCGAAATTCTTTACAAGTCGCAGTAGTATTTTTGTTCGGAATATGCCTTGATTGTCATTAGTCACGTTTCTCGGAATATAATTGAATCCAGGAAGTTTGATGAACGAAAAAAACGCAATTTTTGTAGGCATCTTTGGATTTATTTTTACCAAATAGATTGTTAAACAGAACATTTGTATTCGAAGAACGCAGCGTAAATCATCTCAAAACAAATATAATCATAAAACTTGATAATTGGGTGGAAAGCATATGTGAATCGGAAAACAGATCTCAATGTAATCCGTAATCTATTAAAATTGTAAATACGTCCACACTATTATTGATTTTGAAGAGAAACGTAAGTAAGAAAAAGCAGGTAAGGGTAAGCAGAAACAAAAAAAGGCCTAAAAAGTACAAGCAAGTACTACTATACTCTATTCATGTTTTTTGCGACAAAATACAACGTAAGCAACTTGTTCACTCGATCCGTACATATAATTCACTAGCGCAACGTATTTGCTATTCTTTAGAGTAGAAGTGCTGTGTGCTTGATCAAATTGTCATTCAGTTGGGTACCAAACTGACGGTACACTATTGAAAAAACCATATGATGAATGTTGATTATGATCCATGTGATTAAAACACGACAAGCTGGTGCTAATTGATTCGAGCTGCCAATTTTGTCTATTCTGATGGTTTGAACTTTTTTTAACTTTTGAAAATGATAATTTTAATCACTCACTTTGGCTCAATGTAAAAACATGACAAAACATGCTAATTGAGTACAATTTAATCTCAAGGGTCAACGGTTCAAACAAACTTTAGTTTAGTCAAACTTTTTCATATAAAATTGAGACAGAAAACAACAGTACTAGCGCACATATATTAAAACGATCTGAAATACAATCCTTCTTGAGAAATTGATCGTTCGTGACTAAATGTAGAAAGTATTATAAATCCGTGCCATATAGTTTTAAATATCAATCGTCTTGAAATTGTATGTTTACTTAAAAAAAGGAGTGAAGTGAAAAAGAAACATTAGCATTTGTGTTGTTTGCACATGTGCTATTTAATTGCGAATCAACCATAGAATGTTGCGATATAAACACGAAACACATCGATTACGTCTCGGAATAAATACGCAGATGTAATTAGTGTTTCGATAAATTCGGATGATTGTTGGTGTCTGTTGTTCGTTTCAAATTCATCAAATCGTTGTAAGACATGGTTGTTTGTGCGGGTCCTTACTTGTATGGATCGAAACTAAATGTGATGATTCTGTGTCATCGCATGCTTATAATGCAATTAAAAATGCAGCGAAAAAAGCTCTAGATTTGTCAGACAATTAAGGAAATGACAGTAAAACATAGGCAAATAGTTACAGATGTTTCAAACAGCTGGTGCGATTTTTTTATATTTACATTCGATTTTATTTCATTGCGATGATGAAGAATGAAGATTTGTTGACGAGACGGGTGTGTTTCGCGCAAAGCGAATTTAAATAATTTTCTTTTGGTTATTCATCACTACATATTTTGTAAACGGAATATTTTCAATCTATTTCACAAAATGTCATCGTCAATCTTTTGATGTGACCGAATTGATGCATTTATACATAAATCAAGTGAAAAAAAATCAAATGTACAGATTGAGAAAAAAATTGATTTTTTTTTGTATCCAGAAAAGAAACAAGTGTTACAAAATTAAAGTGCGAGAGAATAAATAAAACACGGTTTGAACGATCATGAGTCATCGCATAAAAAAAAACAAGAATAGAAATAAAGTCTCCGCATTGGGATTTTTTCTCTCCTCTGAACTAAGAATAAAATATGCCAAAAAAAGAAATCGTACGCGAGCGCGCACCGTTTATTTTTATTTTGTTCGGCATGTTCAGCTGTTTGAGTGAGATAAGCGTCGGGGCTTTGATTGAACACATATGTGCGACCGATTAAATTTGACGAATCAAATTGATACACTTAAAACTTAAATGTGTCAAAGGCAGGACCTCTCTCTCTCTGTGTTTTGACATTTTGTTTATATTATTCTTTTCAAATATAAGCTGACATACACTGAAACACCTGTTTACGCAATCAACCGAACATTAACCTTTTTACTTGCCTGTTAACCAAACCAATTTGTTAGAAGTTTTGACGATCAACACTTACGGGTTTCATGTTCAACGGTTATTGATGGTAGATCCCATGCATTTGGTTCGGTTTTCAATGTTAGCGGTGGCAATGGAACGCCACCCGCAATAAGTGCACCGTTTCGTTTTAAATAGTTATCATTTTTTATATCACCCGATTCAACAGTGCAATTCCGTGAATCACTGAAACCGATCGATGTATGTTGTTCGGTTTGCGCTCGTGAAGGCCACAACCTTGAAAATTCTCTGATTGATGATTCAATTTCGTCGCGCGATTGTAATGGTTGTTGTCGTTGAATTGGCAAACTTGAGATTGGTGTCATTGCTAAACTGCTACGACTGTCTTGTGTCTGAGATGTTAAATCATTGGTTTGGTTTGTGTCTAAGATATCTCGATTCACTGTGTCGTATACCTAAAAGTGTAATACAATCCAATTATAAAACACACACATGAATTTATTCGCATTTGAAAAAATTACCTCTTCAATATTTGAATAGTCCAATGGTTCATCGGCGCCTGGAAAAAAATCACATAAAATATGCATTACTTTCACCACATAGTCCATTGACGGTCGATTCTCTGGCAATGAATCCCAACAGCTTGTCATTAATTCTTCGATTGGTTTTGGACAACCTTCTATCAACGGCGGCCGAATGCCTATTTACATAGTTAAATGCATAGATCATAAGATTTCGAAAGAAAAGTAATGCATTTCACAAAAGCATTGAACTTCGTTAATTACCGCTATGCACCTTCCACATCACACCATAAGCTGAACCGATATTTTTGTATGGTTGCTCTCGCGTTATCATCTCCCATAAAATAATTCCCCAAGAAAAGACATCACATTTTTCCGCATAAGTGGATCCTTCGAACACCTCCGGCGCCATCCATGCCGCTGAACCTCTGTTATTTGTCATTAAAGTGGCTAAATCGGTAACCGTGCCAAAGTCGCATATTTTCAAAGTTCTTCCTTGATCAACAAGTAGCAAATTCGGCGGCTTTAAGTCTCGGTGAATAAGGGGCTTTGGTCGCATCGCATGTAAATATGCAACCCCTTCGGCACATTGTCTGTGGAAAGTCGAAAAAATGCAATGCAGTCGAAGCAAAATACAATAAATAATAAAAATAGTTTACCTCGCCCACGACATGGCGTGTGCGGCATTGTATGTTATTCGCGGTCGGCCATGCAAAACATTATAGAGTGAGCCGCCTTCAGCGTATTCCATGACTAAACAGACATGAGGTTCTTTGGTACATGCTCCATAAAGTGCGACGATATTTTTATGTGATACACGAGACAATTGCCGCAACTGTGCAGAATGGAATATTTTTTAGTTTATACATTGACTGTATAAAGTCTTGATGTAAAAAGAATAGAAAAATGGAGTTTTTACCTCAATTCTAAACGCGCTTTGTTCGGTTTCTGCTTCAATGTACTTTACAGCCACAAAATAATCTCGCCATTTCGCTTTGTACACCGTCCCATATGTACCCTTTCCTACGACCTGGTGGTTATATCAATTTGAATATTTAGAATCATTTAATCCAGTTCCAAAATTTTCAATCTTCAACCAACCTTAATATGTTTAATTTCATCGTGATCTATTTCGCCAGTAAAAAAGTTTCCTGTTGACTGTATATCACGATTCTCCGCGTCCATTCGCATTCAATACAATAATATATGTATGGTTAATGGCTTAAATATACTACGTTTTTAGTAAAAACGTAACTGCTTCGATTACGTTTTTAGAAATTTTCTTAATCAATTAATCGTCGGGTTTTTTGTAAAATTTGCATTTTCACAATGAATAATTTCGATAAACAATTAAATACAATTCATTCAGATATTTACGTCTAATTTCATTGCCACTGGCTCCAGGCCGATTAAAATGCAAATTTAAACACGAAGTGGCACACATGCAATCAACCTATAGATGCTAACATCGAAGGGATTTCTATAGACGTTTCCAAACAATTTTATTCACGAGAGTATAATACTTTTGCGTATACGTTTCTTTTTTATTCGAATTGAAGGGAAAAAATCACGACAATTTTTTGCGTGGATGAAATACTGATTTTTGATAAATTGACAACGTTTAATTGCGTTGAAAGTCAGTTCAACGAGCTTTTTTGTGGGAGTTTAGAGTTTACACAATGACACATACACAAAATATATACGAAATAATAATAATATAATAAATAAAGGCGAAATTATAACACAAATAAATAAATAATTAAATTTGCTCCTCTTCGTACTTCAATCTAATATCATGTTCTCCGTCTGTCACTGAAACTGATGTTTCTCGACAATTCGGACTTCACTTTGACAGTTTGAAATGAAATGACGATTTCACAGTGGTGACATCTGACACCCAACTTTTGAAACAAAACCATTTGAACTGCTAGAGCTTTATAGGCGTTTTTTGTGAGGATATTGATATAAATTATTGTATATATTGAAATTATTTAATAAAACAAATTTAAGTAATTTAACAAATTTATAGAAGAAGTGCTTTGTGATAACTAAATAATTAAAATCGAGTTTCACTTGATAGAAAGAGGAGATTGACATTATCAATAAAAAAAATGTGAAACATGGGAATGTGGAAAAAAAAATAAGTGTAAATAAAATCCTAAAAATCGTCGCGCATAGCGTATTCTTTGTTCCTCAAGAAATTTTGACACTTTTTGGACCCTCATAAAATCATTTAGGTTTCAAACAAAATTTATTTGCATCAAGATGTTTTTTGTCGAAAAATCGAATGGGTACAGATTTGGTGTTGAATTGATAATAAAAACCAACTGGCCAAAAAGCACATGTCTTCATTTTTAAGAAATACAATTATTATTTAAATTGTCACATCACTCGGTACATCGAATCCTTTTCGAAACCTGAAAAATGTTAAATTTGATTCCGATATATAGGTGTATATAGCAAAATTCCATATATTCAAAAATGCATATCACAAATAGAAGTGGTGCTGCGTAAAATGTGCATATAAATTAAATTTGTATCGAATGCAAAATTATTACGCGCAGTCATCGTTAGCAACGTCGACAGCAGCAACAATAATAACAACAGCCATATCAATGACAAATCCGGTTCGGTTAACACTTACCGTTGAGCATAACCGACAATAGAATTTCCCTACTTACATCGTAATTTACACATCCTGCTATCAGCCTCTCTCCTGGTTGATTTTCTATCGTCTAATGCATGCAGTGCGTATGTAAATGCATGAGAGACGTATATCTTATTGAGAATATGCGTTCTTTGACCGTATAATTTAGTCGGAGAATTTAATTATGTGGTGACAAAAGTGATGATGTACGTGAGCCCATGAGCCTCAATGCGGCATATGGCTTTTGGCATACAATGTCAAAAAGGAGTTTGTGTGTGTGTGTTACGGTATATAGATGTATTTTGGTTAATGCGTCAACAACAATCCTTCAAGCAGCTCAACGCCAAATGTTCGAAATAGTGCATTTTGTGTTGGATCCATGTAGCAAGCGATCGATATAATTTTTGGCTTTCAAAAAGGCATTTTTTTTGTCCAATTGCAAGGGTAAATCATTTTGTTAGTGAATGGACATTCCATTAAAATTCAAATTACAAGTTGAAGCTCATTTAAAAAAGTTTGTAATTTCCATGTAGATGACACACACACAAAAAATCTTATTCAATTATGTAAGCAAAACGAAAGTGAAATAAAAATGTTCGAAATGGGAGAAAGTCGAAAAGTGTTTCCGCTTAATAACGTTAGTGGTGGAGAGACGGACGAAAGAGAAAAATGAGCATTGTCACACAGACGAAACAATTTTAGATTTCGTTTAAGCCAAAAAGTGCATTCCATGTTCTTGCTTTTGTTGCTGCCGCTGCTGGCTGCTGTGGAAAGTGATTGTATTATTTTTCTCTTGTTGAAATTTGTGCAGCGTTCTATGAAAATCTAATTTGAAGTGTCTGGTTTCGACGAAAATTTCTTTCTAATGTATACAAAACTAAGTTTCACCATTCTCTTGAAACTGAACTGAACCGAATGCGAAACTTAATTCGTCCGTATTGTGCGAAGCACAAACGAAGGACAATTCAATTCTAATTTAAAATGTAATTTTAAACTTTATTTGTTGAATTAGTTCCTTCACTGCTGCCGTTTTTTTCTACATTTTTTTCGTTCTTGTTAAAAAATTGACTTCTGTCCAGCGTTTCCAGTGTGCGGTTCGCACAGATAGAATTGAAATCGAGCAATAATCGAACGGACAATAAAGTGAAAGAGAATGGGACAAGACCTTATCATTTCCAAGCTGAATTGATCTAGAACAATTGATAACCACTGAACTCGCAAACACATGTACGCCATGCCCTTAAATGTGAATGGAGAAATGGCAAATAAATAAAGTTGGAATTTCTTGGCCTGCAGCTGTGTCCAGGCATTTGGTTGAATTCTCATGAGAAATTTCCATATTTACTTTTTTTCCCTATCGCCACCATTGAATCGGATCGTCACGAAGACCGAGAGAATGGGCAATACAATGTCTTATTTCAACAAATTCGAAACAAACTGCACAACAAATGTGTTTGTTTCTTGATGTTCTTTGTCGTTTTTTACTCAATTTTCTCGAGTTTTAGTTTCAAAGTTTCAAGTAAAATGTTTTTTTTTCAATAGAAAAAATAGATAGAGACAGGGAGATAGCTAGAAAGGCGCAGAGAGAGAGAGAGAGAGAGAAAGTGTCGATGCTAATGGATTCAAATATTCTAGTTTGCCATTCTCGCTCTCACTCCCACATGTAGTGGCCACATCAATCTAAAGAAAGGAGTACAGATGAGAATAGAAAAAAAAATGTGTTTTAATGTATCGAATTGCACATGGTTGTTGTTTAAGTTTTTTTTTATGTTTAAATATCACATGCAAATAGCATTTGGATCTATTTCAAATATGGCGTTGAGTTCGAGTTTGTGTGTATGTATTTCGTGTGCAACGTACCGAAGCGTTTTCTATTTATCTGTCATGTAACATTTTATTGAGGGTCGAAAAAGGTGAAATTAAATACAATTGATATGCACATTTTGTTCGCATATGATATGACTTGAACGCAAAACGGACCAGCATAATGGCATCTGCCCGCTTCGTTACAATACAAAATCTATATATGTAGTAATCTTCTTAAGAGGTCTTCTCGATGAGCTAGATGAGCATGTTACACACATCCAAACAACATTTAATTCGCAAAGTATCAGAATGCATTAACATGTAAATCATGACAACAAAACGACACAGAAGTCGTATATATACACACACACAGACACACACACATAATTTTGAAAGAGATATAGAGATTTTCCTTATAACACCAATGCGCAACATATTCTGTGATGATATGTGCTTTCATCAAAAATGCTCTCACTCCTCACAGAAAGTCCGATATCACATTAGAACATATAACACACAAAGATTATCTCTTTTCATTTAGATTCTCTCATGCATGTTGAATGTAGAGAACTAGAAAAAGAAAGAAAAGCAACCAAGAGATTTTACCATTAATGTGAATGCAATCGGAATTATTTATCATTGGAAAGGTAAGTTTTTGTTATAGAGATTAATTGAAACAAAAAAGAATACTTCCGATTCTTGATGGACGAATACTGGCGATATAAAGATCAAAGGACGATTTGAAGTTGGAAACACTCCAGAAGTTCAGATGTAGGATGAAATGTGAAAAAAAAGATCTTTTTGAAATGAAATTATTGAAGAAAAGAAAAAAACAATGCATATAAACAATTCGCAAAATTGGTATTACAATCATAGTTGGGCATGCCAATGACTTTTGAGGGGGCTAATGGTAAAAATGTATTGATCCGGACAAAATTCGAATCTATTAAATCCATACTTAGAAATTAAATCTCTATCTTACAAAAAATTATAAGCGATTTTTGATTTCACTTGCATTGATTACGTGGAGGGGGAGAATTTTATCTATGATTACAGTTCTTAAAATTATTATCTTTCATATTCAAGTGGAATACATTAAAATGCAGTGTCTACATTGTAGTGAGTGGGAGTGTAGATTAAAAAATGCTGTGAAAACGATTATCATTTTCCGTATGCTGACGAGATTGCAATTATGTCAAAAGCATTTTTGTATAAACTATAAAACAATAGATTAACACATGACATGATTTGAATAAATAAATCGACCCAAAAAAATTGAATGAATGAAACATTCAACACAATTCATGCTGTGATATTCATAATGGATATTAAATATGCTGCCATATAAACTGCATCAACTAAATATTAGTTCAAAAAGTTTTGAGTTGCGTGCGCGCATAAGATCATGATAAGAAAAGGGTTTCAACAATCGTGCCATTCTGCAAATGTGGAATAATAATGATAATAATAATGAATTCACCAACACGTGAACCAAATGGAAACAAATTTCTCGGGATGTGCTACAATATATGATGTGTTCAAAAGGAATGTACATGAAAGCAGCATTCTAAAAGCCATTTCCTTCATATGATTATACAAAATCATCGTGTAGATAGATTATAGCACGCATCGTGCCTGGATTTAACATTGAGGTGGTTGTATGAGTATGTGTGAAATAAAGGCGCGAGTATTTCCATTATGTGATGAGAGTTACACAGAAAAATGTGATGCTTCGAAGGTAAATTAATATAGAGATATTAATGCGCGTTACCTTTCGCACCATCATTTTCTGACGATAATGGCAACAGCAGGTATATAGCATATGATCTTCTGAACAGTGAAATGATGCTCACGTATAACCGATTCTATTTGATATAATCAAAAAACACGTATGCATAAAATGACGCACGAATGAAAATAAAAATAAAATTATCAATCTAATAGTCTTTGATTATTTATAATGAACTTTGTTTTAGAACTTTTTTCCCGGGGAATAACATAAAAAACACCTTCCGTTGCTTCAAAATTTTACCCTATGCACGGAAAATTGTGATTCAATGACTTTTGAAGCAGTTTTAATGAAAATGGTAAAGTGGGTTGCTTATTGGGTTGTCACTTTAGCTATTAGCGTAAACATATGATACCTCTTTGTATCGGAAAAGGCGCACGAGTTTCATGTATTTGATGAACGGCGTTTTTTTCTCATTTTGAAGCTTCTTGAACAACTTATATACCATATTAAATTCACGTGTGAGCAATTTCCTAGGAAACGAGAACCGGAAATATGATGTTTATTTACAGTCAACTGAATTTGGTCTTACATGCTCCAATTCATGGAACGAAATC